GTCAATATGGCCCAAATATTTTAAGCCAATGGAGAACAGGTTGGTTGTTGTTGTTGCTGCTGCTGGTGAGCACGCGCAGCAAGCCGCGTCCGCCATTCACTTGATGACAAACACAGACACACACAGCTAAGTTTTCACACACACATATACTGTTGCAGTCGCCGTCGTTGCGGTTTAACGGTGCGTATGAGCATCGCACTCATTCATAAAGACTATTTGTAGTTGCTCAATACATATACACAAGTATGTAAGTACATGCACTGAGAGAAATATCTATGTATAATATATTTCGTACCATTATTATTATTATATGATAGTCATTGAAAAAGATTTACTGTTATAGGAATATTCTGGTCTGGTTTTACACTGAAAATAAAACCGTTTAACATATATTTTATATATAAAAGCTATTTAAAACATTTACATACATGTAATAAAAATTATATATATTTGAATAATATGATATATATACGTTTATGTATCAATATATGTCTTTATTGTTTTTTTATTACATTATATTGTGAACGAGTATGAGGCAGTCGAATACAATCGCTTCAAATTGTATTTTTGACTTCTAATAAATAATCTAGTAATATAGAAAAAGAGCAAATAAGAGATCTTTTCCCTCAACTTGTACTTCATTTCTTTAAGTGTAAACAGAAAGAGAGAGAGGGAAATTGTTGTAATGTTGTGTGCGTAATTAAAGTAGTCGTCGCTCTGTCATTACCAATATTAACTATACAATTAGCAAATGTACGTGGCTGCTACGGCTCTTGTGCATTTCATTGGCATATATTTCTATTTTATTTACATACTTCCTCGACAAAGGGCGAGCTTTATTCAATTTTCTCGAATTATTTTTGTTACCTTTTTTAACTATTATTTTTTCCATTTTTTTTTCGCTGTTTTTTTTATTGGGTTAAGAAAGCGTTACGAAATGAATTTTCAACAGGCAGTCGCGGCCTCATCTGCGACCTCGAAGCTACTGCGCTCTATCTATTGCTATCTCATTCCTTCGCAGTATCGCCATCTCTTACATTGCGGACTTTCTTTGGGGCCACAGAGATTTATGTCAAAAATGACTGTTAAATGTTGTGTTTTTTTTTTTTAACTTTTTTTCTTTAATTTCATTTTCCTTTGTAGTTGCTTATTGTAATTGTTTGCCATTTCGCCTGTTCATGTTTTTTTCTTGGCTACACAAAGTCGTAATTCGTGGCAGGCAGAGTTTACTGTGTTAATGGACGCTTTGGGCTGATGGGGCGCACTTAAGTGCTTTACCCTTGCAACATACTCCGAATGCGGAGAAAACGAAGTAATTGTAGGAAAATTAAAAATATAGGTATACATATATAAATGTATATACCTCTATATACCTCTATATATCTATATATATTTATATGACATAATATCATACATAGTAATATTATTTGGATAGAGAATACTATATAGATATAGCTTTTATATAGAAACGAGAGATTTAAAACTTAGCTATCAGATTTATAATATCATATAAAAAGCAATGCCAGCCCGATTTCACTTTTAAAAGCTAGTTTTTTATTATTATTTTTTGTTGCCTTACAACAATTCAATGCCAACTTCAATCGAGCTAATGACGCACAATTGTTGGCGACACGCAAAACTCCCAAGAACAATTCAAGTGTCATAAAAAGAAAAAGGAAAAAACAAACACAATAAACAAATAAAATAGACAAGCCATAAGGCAATATAAAAACGTATAGTATGGATAATGAGGGAACTGAATAAAATTGCAAATTGCGCTTGGTTCGCATTCCGTGTTTCATAATTATATGAACAACAGGTAGCAGGCGTGCAAAGACTTTGGGATAGCAGATAGGTGGGTAGCTAGGTCTCTATATCTACTCAGATACAATCCTACTATATACATATGTATGTACATATAGATACGGAAGTTCAGTTAAATACAAATGTATATAGATAAATAAATAGCCCCGTGTAAACACACCTCAAATACTTTGCATATATACATATGTATATAGAATAAAAGCAATATCACAACAGCTATAGAATTATAATCAGATGAAAAGTCTTATTTTTAGTACAGTGCACATTGAACCCTTGTCTTGAGTCTTACATAATGATTGCAATATTGCTTATTGACTGGTTGTTGGAAATTTTGCCCCTCTGGCAACCTTTGTGGGTTGCTATTGTTTCAAGCTTCGCGGAGATTCGCTGCGCTTTTACTGCATTTTTTCTGTTTCTGTTTCGGTTTTATGTAAATTTATTAAAATAGTTGCAGTCTGGGCCGACTTGAATGCCTAGTTTTTTTTTCGACTTAAATAAAGTCTCACCAGATGGCGAGCAATTTCATTTTGTAAGAAATCTGGCAACTTTGGCTGGAAATTAAACGACACAATAAACAAAACAATGTCTGCCTGTGTATTTATTTACATGCATACGTCCATACATACATACATTTGCGTATATAGGAAAACATACTTCGGACACAGTTGCCTTAATTTATTAGCAGACGCTCTGCATTCAGAATCGCAAGACAAAAGTAAAACAAAAGAAAGTTGCGGCAAAGCCACACAAACACACGCATATATACGCGTAGACTATAACGGCACCAGGAAGCAGCTACTGACGGATTACACATGTGCAGTCAATGAAAGAGAATGAGAGGAAAAAGGCCCACATAGACTGCAAATAACTATGCTGCATTTTCTATTTCATTCATACACTGGCAGCCTTTTGCCTACTCTTCTGCTTCTCTGTTTTACTGTTGGTTAAACGTAACGTTATTTACGAGCTTTGCCAGGCAAGAGTAGGCAAACAAAGAAGTGTGTTAATGAACACTGCAAAAAAAGACTGAAAAGAAATTGCAATAACAACAACAACACTAACGAGGCAACCGGAAAGTGAAGCAACTTGAAAAACTGCTTCATTTTATTTGTATTATATATATTTACATGCACACACATATATGCATGCATATAAGTGCAAAACAAAGAGAGAAAGAAAAAGAGAACGAGAGAGGGAGGGACAAATATTAACTCCATAATACATTAGTGTGCGCATTTCCAGTGGCTATATATATATATATATATATATACATATATATATATAATATATAAATAAATATAAAAAGCTTAATTGCTAGCATAGCAGTGCAGTAAGCATAGAAATTTTCAATTAAAGCCAAATTAAAAGTGCACTTTATGCACGTGTTGTAAAAATTGGGTAAAGCTGAAGTAAATGATAAATGGGAAATGGAAAATAGGAAGCAACCAAATCGATGCCATGCATCGCTGATCTAAAATTATGTGCATGCATGTTTGGGGGGTATTAGATTGGAATGAGGCCCAAATTGTGGGTAATCCCACATGAATTAACTGTATAATATCGTTAGATAATCCTATAAATATTTTATCTAACTGCATTTGAATTCGACTACAGTTTATTGAGGTGATTTAGTAAAGCTTTTAATATATAAATATATAAATGTATGTACCTAACAAATATTTTAGTCATTTTATGTCCAAGCACAGGGTACCATCGCTTCATTGTGAGACTTGATTTTATTTTCAAAAACTTAACTTAATTGTTTCTAATTTCACTCAAACCATTTTTTATATGTATTTTAAGCACGAAGTTTGTTCAGCGGGGCAATCAAAACGTCAAGCGGATTGATGGATTGACGTGCGATAGCATCTAAGAGCAACAAGAGTGGGGGGGGGGCATACAACACTTAAATAAACCGATTCGTATCGGGGGCAGAGAGAGGGAGAGAAATTTTATATTTTTAAAACAATCCAAAATGAACACGAAACTTAACGGGACATTTTACACTTCCAGCCAGCAGCAGCGCCGTGTTGCGCGTCAGACGATTGAGATTTGTTGTATGCCTAAATTTAGAATTCGATGAATTCGTATTGGGAAATTTTGTTTCACTTTGAGTGATGTTTTTATTGCTAAAAATAACTAAGAAATGTAATACGAATTCAATATCCATTTGAAAACAGAATTTATCTAATTAGACTTAGCTTGTTTATATTAAATGGAAGGGCTTTCAATTAAAAATTCCAGTTTATTTTTCCATTGAAATGAGCTGCTTGGCGAGACAACAACAAAAATTCCCAGTTGGTGCGGCCATTTTCAAAGTCGCCTCAGACAATTATATACGTACATACATGCACACACACACATATATATACATATATATATATTATATATATATATATATATAATATATACATACATATATACGTATATATATGGCTTTATTAAAATCAAGAACAGAATCAAAATTTCTATACGTAGTTCGTAATTTACAACACGAACATATACTGACGGCCACTGCTGTTGTTGTATTTGTTTTTGTTTGTGAGCTGTATAAAGCAAGTGTTGTGTTCCGCACATGTTGCCAATTTGTATAGTGTGGGTAACGTATGCATTTTGTGCTTTTTTTTCACATGTTAATGCAACCGACTGTGCATTAGTATTGGTAAATGTTGATTTTACTGCGGCTGTTTTCCAACAACTTCTGCCAACGTCAGCGAATTAATCATGCAAGCCCCACTGCCAGCAATTACAATACCCAACTACGAATGAGGAAAATAAAAAATAAAACTACGGTTAAAACGCAGCTGGCCGTATGTCGGTGTGTGTGAAAGAGGGAAAGAAACCTAAAAAGCGAGAAGGAGAGGGCGCCACTCTATGGCAGCCAGGGCCAAAGCAGTGAGCGCATCGATGACGTCACAAGCGCATCACGCTGCTTTGGTCAACGTCTCGCTGCCTGACACCATTCCCGCTATTGCACTCAATTAATTACAGGTCTGCTCCATTGTGTTTCTCTATTTTTCTTTTGTCATATATGTATCATTAAAAATGATAAGCGTAGTGAAGGCTCACTATCAACGCAAATATAGAACTATGTCTCTGCGTTTGTATGTTTGTGTGAGTAATGCAAATTGGGTTATCAGAGCCACTGTTGTTGTTTTTTCTGTTTGCATACGCACCTTTGGTTTGTTTAGCCACTTGCGAAATGTATCCATGGTTTAGCCGTTCCGTGCCGTTACCGTCAGCTTAACAGCTGTTAGAACGTTAGCTCAGCCACCGTCTCACTCTTACGCCTGTCTGCCCCACACTGTTGACAATTAATCAGTGTTCGGAGAAGGCTGTCAAATGACTCGCTGTTGGCGCCGCTTTGCTCCAATAGATGGCGTCGTTGTCGTCCTTGCCCAACGCGCGCGACTCAACGAACACAACAATAACATAAACGAAATGGCGCGTATGACAAAAACCCAAACAAAACAAAAGCAAATATGCAAGAGAGCGCAAAAACAACTATGTGTTGTCTGTTTGTGTATGCGTACGTGCGTGTCTCTTACAATACGTACTGGGTTCTGCTTGCTGCTTGGCCACACTGCGTTCAATACAAGCTCATATGAATGCGTCTCTCTTCTTGTTTATGTATGTGTGTATATGTGTTACTATATGTGTTTGTGCGCTACTGTTGCATTCGCGTTGTTAAATTTTCACTTTTTTGGCATTTTCAAAATGCACTTCATCGAATTTTACACTTTATGTATAATTTGAAATTGCTTCGTCTCATGCTTTTTTTTAATTTTTTTTTGTAATTTTTCAAGTGCTAATTTTTTTTCTATATTTTTTTTTGTTAAATGCCTTTTGCACTGTGCTTCGCTTTGACTCTGCTTCGTGTATTCGTATACGGTTTGCTTTCAACACACACACGCGTGACTATTGCGTGCTCTTTCAACACTCATATATCACTTAAACTGCATTTCTTTATGTGGAAATTGCGTCAATTTGTTAAAATTCTTAAAATATGTTGAAACGGTTACGGAACACAGTCGGAAATTGGATTTTCTACTGGCGAAAAAACCATTAAACTCGCGCAACACTTATCCGCCCCTACCGTCGACACAAACGAAGCGTGTACGTTACGTTCAAAGATTTTTTTTCGACTAACATCTGTTAAGTTTCTTTTTGTTATTAAAATAATGTAAATGGGATGTTAACACGCTAGCATAGGCATCGATATCTCATTCGATAACAGCATCGATACTTATTCAAATGACAAATGGTATGCTGTTCACATTTAATATTTGCAGCAACATTTCCTGCTTATATAATCCATTGTCAGAATAATTGTCAACATTTATTGTTGGCTTGACGGACCAGCTCTATTAAAATTATTGAGAGAATATAAATTATGTAGGCTAACAGGATGTTAACATGCTTTTATTTGCGTCAGCATACTCATTTTTGCGCTTTCAGTTGCCCATTTAATATGATAGCATTTACTTGAGACAACAATATGTTCTGAACCCAAAAATAATCGATTCCAATACTTGAATTTAGTTGTACTTTATGTTTTCTGTTTAGCTGTGTCAATATCTTAAGTCTGCAATTTATTTGAGGAACTTAAAATAAAAATTGACTGGTAGGCAAAATGTGCGAAGCTGCCAGATCAGTAAATTAAGCATTTTATTTGAATCTCTTAGAGGCTGCCGTATCAAAAGAAAAAGAACGAAGCAACAATTTATTGTGGCGCGAAAAATTTGAAATGCTTTTCTAACTAATGCGTTTGTTAATTTTATTTCAATGTGCAAATTGTGTACAAAATGCTATTCTAATGATGGTTTTCCTTTTATTTGTTTACTGCAAAGCAATGCGTCGGAAATGATTATTGAGCGGCCCCTCATCCGAATAGCCAGCAATCTCTTGTGGTATGATGCCCGACTCTTCAATCGAGGTGCAGGGGCGGCACATACACTCCAACGGAGCCTTGGTGAGAACCTTCTTGAACTTGCGCTCCCCATGCTTGACCTTGGGACAGAACAGCGAGACGGCTGCCTCGCGCTCGCCCGATTCCTGGCAGCACATACAGGAGCGCTCCATTTGCCAAATTTTGCTGCCCGAGACCTGATGCACGCAGGCAAATAGCAATATAGCAATAATAATAATAATAATAATAATAAGTCGCCTCACCTGTATATAGCTGGCACAGCGCCCTACACAGGCGAAGGAGGGTATTGGCTTTGGCACACAGCCCGGATATTGCAGGACATGGATGACCGGCGTCACCTGGCAGTCGTCGCCCAGATGCCCGATATCTGCAAAGACAAAATAAAGCCTGCCTTTGGTCAAGTATAGGCTAAACGACTGCTTTCGTACCATTGTCATTGGCAGTCGCCGTACCCTCCGACTGGGCCATGCACAGCTTCAGCAGGCTAACCAGAACGCAGTACAGCAGTATGAGCACGAATATCCTGTTGTTCTCGTGGCGTAACACATGGCGCAGCATTTTGCTAGTTCAGTCAAGTTCAAGTCAAGTGCAGGTCGCGACGCCTCCGAATGGAAAACGCTTCCAGCCGCCTGACGCTTTTTATATATGTGGCCCGTAGCCGGCCGCAGCTGTAGCCCTAATGTCCCGGCCAGCCACGGCACATGACTTATGGCCCAATAAAGCGACGCGGCCAGCACAAACCTTTTTGCCTAGTAATTGCATACACGAAATTCGCATTTGTCCCGCTGCGCCACTTATGGCCCCAACCACACACAAATCACAGCATAAGCTAAATCCAATCATCATCAGAGCCGCGGACGCCAGCTTCAGTCCATTCCGTTCCTCCAAGCCAGCAAGTTAAGCAGCTAACCCATTGCAACATCTTCAGTGCCTGACTTCCTTGCACAGGTTTGAGAGAGAGCCAGCTGTATTCCAGGCTGTAGCAGCAATTTAGAAGTGAATTACTTGAAATATTTCTAGATAGAACTAAGTCATCAAGGAACTTACGTCTCGGTCAAATGTGCACCAAGTCACCAAGTCGGGATTCTGCTCATAGAGCTGTGCTAGGCCAACAATCTTCAGGTCCACGCTGTTGCCCTTGCCCAAGATCTCGTTCTGGTAGTGCGTCCGATAGATCTCTCGATCTATGTAGTTGGTTGCCTTCTTATGTAGCTTTTCATAACATTTCCGAGGCGCCTCTTATATAGATAACGTTGTTGATTTAATATTTGAAAATACTCGTATATCTTCATTAATGTCAAGAGGCACTTAGAAGTATCAGAGCTGATAAGCATATATAGATATAGATCGTAGTAATATGGAAGTACTTTTGGCATTTTGCGATAAAGCGAATTATATCTTAAGCATATTGCAGATATAACTAGGAATTATGGTTCATGGAGAGCAAGACCACAGCTCAATAGACTCGAATAGGCTAGTCTAGTAGGCAGATGGCTTTGTATATTTCCGAGGGAAATGCCGTTTGCAAAGTGTATCTCAGATAAACGAGTTAAGCTAGCCAAGCTCTTGCAGTTGAGTTCAACAAGTCTTCTTAAGTTTAGTTCTAAAATCCCGATTCGTCCACTTTTTCACTCTTGTCAAAGATAATAAATAAATAAATAATAAAACATTGTCGATAAGCATATTTTGCTGTTTGTCAACGTCTTTATTTGGACAACGTTCACGGGGGCCATGACTAATCTTACTATATGTTTAATTTTATATATTATTTCAACATAAATGCTATAAAAACTTCAACTCATAAAGATATTGTCCTATCTACAAGAAAGTATGAGATCTAAAAAACTTTAGAAGCCTCGTACATTGAGTGAATAACAAAAATATATCAAGCATAAGACAAAGTGTCAAAGGGGGTTTCAGCTAAGCCCATTGGAAATGGGAATCGTCAGAATGAGGCGTGGCAGAGCCCATAAAGTCTATATATTCTTGATCAGGCCGACGAGCTGAGTCGAACTAGCCAGCTAGATGAGTGTCTGTCCGCCGGAGCCTTGTTGGATTCATAGCTTGGAGAGGTTAGAGCTTGTGCCATTTAGACGGATGTAAGGAAAGTTTTCTAACTGAGTCAAGTCTGGAAGCTTTAAAGATGAAATATGCTGACCTCTGAGATGCTGTTCCAAGTCGACAATCGAGTAATTCCCGGCTTCAAGCGCGATGACAAGAAAATAAAAAATGTTTAAATGTTGTGCCTTAATCACTTAAACGATTAAATTTATTTTCGTCTGATTTGTAGTCTTTGGCACTTTGACATGGCCTGATTTCAAAGCCTAGCTAAGCAATATAGTCCAAACGGTGGATATGACCATCAGCAGCGATGAAACCAACGCCAATCCAGCAACTCCATTTCTCTGAGCCAGGTAATTCACAAACTTGCCCAAGCGCTTCTCCGACCATTGCAAGTTCTCCTCTATCTTGACCTGTGCCTGGTTGAGTATCTCCGCGGAGCTGCCGAATGATGCTTGGCTTTGCTTGTAAAAGTTAGAGAAGAGCTGCTGCTGCTCCCGCGTGGTGAAGTACTCCGCCATATCGCTCAGAGCCTGAGCGGTCTTTGGCCAGCTGGACTCCAAGCTGTAGAGGAAATAGAGAAGTTTAGTTATAGATAGAACTAAGTCATCACAGAACTTACGCCTCGGCCAACTGTGCAATGTTCTCGGTTACCATCTGGAAGATGGGCGTCACCAAGTCGGGATTCTGCTCATAGAGCTGTGCTAGGCCAACAATCTTCAGGTCCACGCTGTTACCCTTGCCCAAGATCTCGTTCTGGTAGTGCGTCCGATAGTCCCTCGTGCAGCTGGCTGCGCGCCAGTAGATCTCGCGATCTATGTAGTTGCTTTCCTTATTGTACAACTCCAAGACGCGAGCATACCCGTCTGTTCTGGCGGCTGCGCAGTAGAAAGTCTCTCGATAGTCTGGTGATGGCTTCTCAGAGTTCAGTGCATTGAACTTTTCCAACACCTTCGCAGTGCAGTTGGAAGTCTGGTACTTGCAGAGCCACGAGATCTGCTGGTTGCGATTGTAGACATCTAACACCTTGTCACTGGTGCTCCAACCCACGCCCAGCTTGGTATAGACTGCCTTTGTGATGTCGCTTAGATATGTCTTGAAGTTGGGCAGCTGCTGTGGAGTCAAACGCTTTGCCACCCTCTCCAATCCCACATAGGCCGCATACCACGGAATATAATCGGCTTCTGTGCTCATGTACTCCATGAACTCGAAGACCTCGACGTAGTCAATCAATTCGGCGAGGGCAAAGTTGAACAGGTCGTCAACGATAGCCGCACGATTCTCGACGGGAATTCCACTGTGGCCATCCTTGATCAGAACTTTTTGAACGCGATCGAGCAGTGGCTGCTTGTACATAACGCGATGATAGTTGGCCTGCTTCAGATTAACTATGACCCAGTCAATGGGTTCTTCTGACCTGCGCTGATATACATCAATTAATTTATCAATGTAAAATGCTGGCTTCAGATTCTCGAAATTAGGATCCAGATTCGTGGTGTAAGTGATGGGAACCGTGTAGCGCAATCGAGAGTTGCTGCCATCAGTGGCGTTCAGCAGAAAGCGTCTCTGTTCGAAATTTAGTTGACGGCCATCTTGAGTGAGCGACACCGTGATCATTGGGTAGCCGACCAACACGGTGAAGTCGACAAAGAACTGATTTAGGTTGACATATACGTCTCCAGGCCAATGTTCCCTGAGATGTCCTAGCAGATTGGAGGGCAATGCGTTACCCAAGTGGCTAGAGGAGAAATCTTATCTGTGATTCACATTTTCAAAGCCAATGGCATTTGAACTTACAACTCCTTGAGGTAGTTCGTGATGGCCGTATTGAAGTTGTCCTCGCCCATTGCAAACCTGAACATGCGGATTATGCTTGCGGCCTTGGCAAATGAGATTCTGCCGAACTTGAAGTCGATGTCTGCAGGTGTGTTTATGTCCACCTCTGCACTGGTCATCGGCTGTGTTAAATTAAGAGAGTCGGTCGTGAGGATGTGCTGAAGCTTATGCACCACGAACTGCTGGTCCAGTTGATATTCCGGATATAGCTGCAAGATATTTTCAAAAAGAAAATCAATTTGGCAAGGGCTAACGAGTCACGCCGAAAGGATCTAAATTTATATTTATATAAATTCATAGTGTGGAATCCTTAGTTTTGAAATCATGAAAAAATCAGCTGAAAAAGCTCTAATCGCGGTGCATGACTAGGAGACACCCTGAATCCTGCCCAATCTGCGTATTGAAATAAAAACAAAAGAAAAATCAAATTTTGTCAACACAGAATCCACAAGCGACGCCGCTACCAACTACGCCACTGCACTGCTTGCTGAACTGCCTTTTCTATAACAAGCAGTGCCATGCCTATAGTATAAGAGAAGACACACATTTGCATGTATGTGTGCACTTATATAGGAAAAATGCGTACGCTTGGCACTGCTTGCCACGTCCTTTTGCAAATTGCTCCAAACGTTTTGTTTAATAACTTCTATTTTACTTAACGGATTTGAATGAAATTTTCAGCAAATGATCTGCATATTCTATTGAAGTACTTGTCAACTTAGCAAAAGAGCAATCTCTTTCACATGTTTGTCCTATTTCCAGCTGAACTTTAATTTACTGTTTTTTGGGGACATTTGGAGCCGGTATCCAAAATTTAACAAAAATCAAAATTTTATAAAATATACAATAAACTAGATACCAAAATTGGCGGCTCTAACTCTAGAGCCGCACGAGATATAATTTAATAACTGCATTTTGCACATGTTTTTAATCGATCACAACAAGACGGGAATATTTATCGATTATTTTAAATAAACTTCATATGCTCGTGCTATATACAGACCTACAACAAAAATTGCCAGTCTCTAGCTCTTAAAGATGCTGAGATCGATGCGTTCACACATACGCACAGGCGAACGGATGGACGGACGGACAGACCGACGTGCCTAAATCGACTCGGCTTGACGTCCTGATCATATAATATATATAATTATGGGGTCTGCCATACATTTTTACGAAATCATTGAACAAGGGAATTCAGGATATATCCCATTTTCAAAGGGATCAGCGAATAAATACATTAATTGAATAAACTCTAAGCGAAGTAATTTATAAATAGATCAAAAGGCAAGACAACTCAAACCACTTTTGGCAAATCTTACCTTGTGACCCATAAAGTACTCGTAGTAGCGCGCGAATCCTTCGTGCAGCCAAATGAAGCTCCACCATTCACACGTGACGCTATTTCCGAACCACATGTGGGCACTCTCATGGACTATGTTGCGAATCGTGAACTCCTTCTGCATCCATCCATCCGTAATGCCTGGCTGCTCCAGAAGCACCTTATCCCTAAAGTATTAAAAGTTAGCCCCATGTGCCACGGCCCCCTTACTCATTACTCTACTAACTTGAAAATGACGAGGCCCCAATTCTCCATGCTGTTATGGGAAAAACGGGGTGTGGTCGCGTACTGCAGTATCTCGTTGCCCAATTGCTGATAAGTCTGCTGAAACAGCTCCCCGTATGCTGGCAGTACGCGCTTTGCGACTGAGTAGCTGAACTCCGTGTAGTTGTAATACTCCGGACGGCTATGAATGGAGAGATCGTTGTCGCCTCGGACCTTGTACTCGGAGATAACGAAAGCCAACAAGTAGGTTGACATAATGGGTGTCACCTCGAAGTGATCCGTCTGGCGATTATTGCTGCAATGGTTTGATAATTAATGTAGCTCTACTTAAGGGTCAATCCTTGGAAACATACTCTTCGTTAACCGTTTGAATTAGCTTCGTGTTGCTGACGGCATTGAGGCTAGCTGGTCGGGTAATCTGCAGCTGAAATTTGGCCTTGAAAGTGGGTTCGTCGAAGCAAGGAAAGACTAAGCGTGCGTTGATGGGCTGCATGTGGGTTAACAGCACCCACTTGGTCTTCATTGCCGCCGCATCCATATAGCTGGCAGAGAAAAGACCCACAGTATCCGTCTGAATTTTTCCGACAAAATTGAAATTCAAGGCGTAGCTAACATTGGGAGCTAGGGCTTGGGTCAGACCCACTGTTAGCTGCTGCGACTGCTCTACAGATGTTAGTTTGGCGTTGTTGACCAATTCGACCTGCTGGCCAGCGGCATTCAAAAGCACACACTTCAGGATTACAAGCGAAACATCCTTGTGCAGCGTGATTTCCTTCACATTCTCCAGTGGTGTCTGCAAAGTAATGCTGACCTCGCCATCGTAATTTGTAGCAGGGCTATCAGGTGTTATCGTATTGTCCCGCAACTGAATTTTAAGGTTATATAACGAGGGCAATACGTCAGTTTTTAGCCTATAGTTGATTTCACACTCGTATCCTCCGATCCATGTTAATGTGATAAGTGCGACCAGAGGCCAAAAGCTGAACCACGAACTGGACATGTCGATGGCTCGTCGAATACTGAATTAGATTTTGTTTAATTCCTTTAATATAGATTCGTGAACCCTTCCAAAAATGAGGTGATTTTTCGAAAGATTAGATTACAATATGACTAAGGATGAAGAATCGGTAAATGAGTTGATTTTGGCATATTGTTTCTAACTGCGGATCTGCTGGGGTTCCAAGTCTTGATATAAAATCGCTTTTAATGACAACGTCATAAATTTCAAAGCTGATAAAAATATGCGTTTATATGTATATAGGCATATAGATTCGGAACTATTACGTAGTATTATGTCATATAAGCCGTGTAGAATGGTATGATTAGATACATTGTAGTTGAAGTAGTGTCATTAAAATTTTCACACGAGAAGTCATAAAGATACGTACATACTTTTTATAGGTATTAGTTCGCCGTGGACATTGAACTATAATGCTACACAGTTGTTCCAATCAGACCAAATCCAATTATAATCAAGTTTACAAAATAAAGTACCAGTTTTTTAAAAAATATTGTTAAATTTATTAAACCATTCGCTTAGATCGATTAACAGTATCAATTAATTTATTATCTTCCCGTATCAAAATAATATTTTGTTTCTTTTTCTATCTAAGTACAAAGCTCAATACGGTGGACACGACCATCAGCAGCGATGAAACCAACGCCAATCCAGCAACTCCATTTCTCTGAGCCAGGTAATTCACAAACTTGCCCAAGCGCTTCTCCGACCATTGCAAGTTCTCCTCTATCTTGACCTGTGCCTGGTTGAGTATCTCCGCGGAGCTGCCGAATGATGCTTGGCTTTGCTTGTAGAAGTTAGAGAAGAGTTGCTGCTGCTCCCGCGTGGTGAAGTACTCCGCCATATCGCTCAGAGCCTGAGCGGTCTTTGGCCAGCTGGATTCCAAGCTGTAGAGGAAATAGAGAAGTTTAGTTCTAGATAGAACTAACTCATCACAGAACTTACGCCTCGGCCAACTGTGCAATGTTCTCGGTTACCATCTGGAAGATGGGCGTCACCAAGTCGGGATTCTGCTCATAGAGCTGTGCTAGGCCAACAATCTTCAGGTCCACGCTGTTACCCTTGCCCAAGATCTCGTTCTGGTAGTGCGTCCGATAGTCCCTCGTGCAGCTGGCTGCGCGCCAGTAGATCTCGCGATCTATGTAGTTGCTTTCCTTATTGTACAACTCCAAGACGCGAGCATACCCGTCTGTTCTGGCGGCTGCGCAGTAGAAAGTCTCTCGATAGTCTGGTGATGGCTTCTCAGAGTTCAGCGCATTGAACTTTTCCAACACCTTCGCAGTGCAGTTGGAAGTCTGGTACTTGCAGAGCCACGAGATCTGCTGGTTGCGATTGTAGACATCTAACACCTTGTCACTGGTGCTCCAACCCACGCCCAGCTTGGTATAGACTGCCTTTGTGATGTCGCTTAGATATGTCTTGAAGTTGGGCAGCTGCTGTGGAGTCAAACGCTTTGCCACCCTCTCCAATCCCACATAGGCCGCATACCACGGAATATAATCGGCTTCTGTGCTCATGTACTCCATGAACTCGAGGACCTCGACGTAGTCAATCAATTCGGCGAGGGCAAAGTTGAATAGATCATCAACGATAGCCGCTCTATTCTCGACAGGGATTTCACTGTGATTGTCCTTGGTCAAGGCTTTTTGAATCCGACCTAGAAGTGGTGGCTGATAGTGCACTCTATAGTAGAAGGCCTGTTTTTTATTGACAATTATCCAGTCAATTGGCGTGTTTATATAGCCCTCATAGTAAGGATTTCCCCTTTCGTAATAAAAGTTGGGTGTCAGATTTTGAAAGTTACGGGAAAGATTCGTGGTCCATGTGATGGGCGTTGTGTATTGCAAGGTGGTATCGCTGCCATCTTTACTATCTAACAAGAAACGTTTCTGCTGAAAGCGGAAGGTCTGGTCATCCGGCCTGAGGGTCACAATTATCCGCGGATAGCCCACTTTAATGGTGAAGTCATAATAAAAGGAGTTTAATGTGACATCTTGTTCCTTAGGCCAGTTTTCCGTAAGATATGGATACAAGTCCGTGGGTGAGGCGTTACTCAAATGGCTAATAGAGAAGGCTTAAGTTAGACTAGGCTATTGAACCATAAGGAACTTGCACACACTAATCCTTGAGGAAGCTTCGGATTGCTTTGTTAAAGTTTTCCTCGCCCATTACGACGCTCCACATGCGGATTACGCTAGCTGCCTTCGCAAAGGCGATTCTCTCAAACTTATAGTCGATATCTGCAGGTGAATTAATGTTCACTAGGGCGCTGGTCATTGGCTGCGTGCTATTTTTCGAATCCAATACTATCGCATGATGCAGCGTTTGCACGAGGAATTGCTGGTCAAGTTGGTAGTCCGGATATAGCTGTAAGGAACATTTAAAAAGTATTTAATTATATTTTCAATAACAAGTAATTCACTGCGGGGTCACCTGCTGTCCCAAGAAGTACTCATAGTAGCGCGCAAAGCCCTCGTGCAGCCAAATGTAGCTCCACCACTTGCATGTGACGCTATTGCCGAACCACATATGGGAATTCTCCTGGACTATGTTGCGAATTGTGAACTCCTTCTGCGTCCATCCATCAGTAACGCCTGGCTGCTCCAGCAGAACGTCATCCCTAAAATGCAAACACAACTTCCTAAAGCACAGCTGCATATTTATGTAGGAGTTTCCTCACTTGGCTATGACCAGTCCCCAGTTGTCGACGCTATTTTGGGAAAGACGTGGTGTGGACGCGTATTGCAGCACCTGGTTGCCCAGTTGCTTGTAAGACTGATTGAACAGATTACCGTATGCTGGCAGTACACGCTCTGCGACTGAGTAGCTGAACTCCATGTAGCCATTGTACGCCGGTCGGGTAAGAATGGAGATATCGCTGTTGCCTCGCACCTGGTACTCGGAGATAACGAAAGCCAACGAGCAGGTTGACATAATGGGTGTCACCTCGAAGTGATCCGTCTGGCGATTATTGCTGCAATGGTTTGATAATTAATGTAGCTCTACTTAAGGGTCAATCCTTCGAAACATACTCTTCGTTAACCGTTTGAATTAGCTTCGTGTTGCTGACGGCATTGAGGCTAGCTGGTCGGGTAATCTGCAGCTGAAATTTGGCCTTGAAAGTGGGTTCGTCGAAGCAAGGAAAGACTAAGCGTGCGTTGATGGGCTGCATGTGGGTTAACAGCACCCACTTGGTCTTCATTGCCGCCGCATCCATATAGCTGGCAGAGAAAAGACCCACAGTATCCGTCTGAATTTTTCCGACAAAATTGAAATTCAAGGCGTAGCTAACATTGGGAGCTAGGGCTTGGGTCAGACCCACTGTTAGCTGCTGCGACTGCTCTACAGATGTTAGTTTGGCGTTGTTGACCAATTCGACCTGCTGGCCAGCGGCATTCAAAAGCACACACTTCAGGATTACAAGCGAAACATCCTTGTGCAGCGTGATTTCCTTCACATTCTCCAGTGGTGTCTGCAAAGTAATGCTGACCTCGCCATCGTAATTTGTAGCAGGGCTATCAGGTGTTATCGTATTGTCGCGCAACTGTATTTTAAGGTTATATAACGAGGGCAATACGTCAGTTTTTAGCCTATAGTTGATTTCACACTCGTATCCTCCGATCCATGTTAATGTGATAAGTGCGACCAGAGGCCAAAAGCTGAACCACGAACTGCTCATGTCGATGGCTCGTCGAATACTGAATTAGATTTTGTCCATTTCTTTTAATATTGAATCGTGAGCCCTTCCAAATATTGTGATTTTTTTGAAAGATTAGATTACAATATGACTAGGGATGAAGAATCGGTAAATGAGTTGATTTTGGCACATTGTTTCCAACTGTAGATTGGTCTGCTGGGGTTCCAAGTCTTGATATCGCTTTTTATGGAAATTTATTACTTTTATCATAATCACACTCTACTAGGAAATAGAAACGCTGATAAGAAAGTATGTATATATGTTTTTATATAGGTTCGGAACTATTACGTAGTATTATTTGGAAATCCGTAAAGTCATATAAGCCAATGATATGATTAGGTACATATCATTGTATTGTTGAACTAGTATCTTTGAATTTCTCACACGAGTAGCTATAAAGATATGTACATAATTGTTGTAGGTATCACTAGAAATGCTGTAGAGGTAGACTTTAATCAATAAATGGGTAGTTGAAAGAAGAGAGAAATTTTGCAGTCGATGCTTGTGGTTTGTTTATGGAAATGTTATGAATGCCAAATGATGTTAAGTTAATTTGGCCAAAGGTTACTGAAAATGTAGAAGACAAATTGACCTTTAAAGGCAATTAATATTATTTTCATTTGATAGTGAGGTGCTCAAATTAATTCCCTATCGAGATTAATTCAAGTGAGTTGTCAGTTCCATTCAAATTGACTCAGAAACACTTCCAAACTATCGGTGATTTTTCTGAAAGATTAGTTTTTAAGCGTGAGTAAGGCCAATCGAATTAGTTACTATTAGTGTGTGACGCACTGTTTCTAAGGTTTCATTTGTATATCTTTACGAACTGTGCGTGGTCGCAACTCTTTGATATAATGTTAGAACATTTGTTCAATGATTAGATTATATGAATTTTGACTATTAGTTCTTATCGAAAGTGGGCGTGTGTTGGACGTGGACACTTGATTGCTCATATATATATATATATAGTTCTAACTGCTGATACTATATAAAGAAAATAAATACTTTAGATTCTAATTAGTATATTCTAAAAGAAAACTAAAAGGGCAATCAGTTAACAAACTCTCATAAGCCTCACGTATATTGAAAGATACAACTAGTTCCCATTTAGGCAGTTCAGTCTTCCATAACCCAACAGACTTCGCTTTGCTAAACATAAAATTTATAGGTCTAAATGTACTGAGGTCCAATAGTACTTCATTTCCACAATCTGGTGTGCCTAAATCCAAACCCCTTTAGCTGATGCCATCAGTAAAAAAACTTGACAAACTTTTTTTTAGCAATAAAATGGTTCATAGTAACAGTTAGTTGTAAAGAGATGTGCATGAATACTTGTCATGTTTTGATCATAGGTATATAAATACATAAACCAAATTCCAAGCTTAGCTTCTATGTACATAGTTATTATAGAACGAGGGCTCATACGAGTACTCCAAGTCTCTAGATGAACAAACATTTCACATAACACTATGCTCTCTTTAATATAAAAAATCTCATTTTATCCAGTCAACTGAAATAGATTAAATTTTTATAAAAAACCAACAAAAATTTAAAATCGATGTCGCTATCATTAGCAGCGCCGATCCCAGTTTCAGATCAGCAGCTCTGTTCCTCAAGACCAGGTAGTCGTTAAGTCTATTCAAGTTCTGGTCGGCCCATTCAATATTGTTGTCCACGGTGGACAAAGCTTTGACAAGTGTTGCCTTGGAGCTGCCAAACAGCATATGGTTTTCATTGATGAACTCCGCAAAGAGTTCCCGCTGCTCACTTGTGGTAAAGTACTCCGCCATGTCGCTCAAAGCCGTCGCAGTCGTCGACCAGCTTTGCAAGCTGCAAATGAAGCATTTATGTTTATTAATAACGATTGACAGTGAAATCGTTGATAGATCTTACGCTCGAGCCAATTGAGTGATGTCCGCGGTTACCGTAAAGAAAATGTTAGTGATTAGGTCGGGATTCTGTTCATAGAGCTGTGCCAGGCCAACTGTCTTTAGAGACACGCTAATGGACCTGCTTAAGATCTCATTGTAGTAGTGCCATTGATATTCCCTCGTACAGCTGGCGGCGCGCCAAAGAAGCTCCCGTTCCGCTGGGTTCGCTTCGGCCTGGAAGTATTTCATTATCACTGCGTATCGACCTGCTTTGGAAGCGGCACAGTAAAATGTCTCCCGATAGTCTCGGGATGGCTTTTCACTGATCTCATCGAACTTTGTTTGCACTCGGGCCTCACAATTGGCACTCTGGTATTTGCAGAGCCATGACACCAGCTTGTTGCGGTTGTACACGTCCAAGATGGTGTCGTTAACGCTCCAGCCCACGTCCAGCTTGTCCAATGCCGCCTCGGTGATGTCGCTTAGATATATCGCGAAATTGGGCAGCTGATGTGGGGTCAAGCGCTTCGCCACCTTATCCAGTCCCACATAGGCTGCATACCAGGCAACATAGTGGGTTTCTGTCCTCATATACTCCATAAACTGGAAGACTTCCACATAGTCATTCAATCCAATCAAAGCAAAGTTGAACAGATCATCAATGAGAGCTGCGCGATTCTCTACGGCTATTTTGCTGTGCTTCTGCTTGGACAAGGCCTCCTGAATCCGTTTCAGCAGCGATGGCGCATATTGAACGCGATAAAAGTTCGACTGCTTCAGATTGAGCACAATCCAGTCGATGGGCTCCGCAAATGAAAGTTGCGTAATATCATCCCACTTATTCAAATACGTAGCGGGCGTTAAATTTTTAAAGTCGGGCGACAAATTTGTGGCGTAGGTGATGGGGACCGTGTAGCGTAGGTCCACGTTCTTGACGTCATTGTGATTCACTACGAATCGGAATTGTTTCAGAATGAAAGCGTTAGACGCTTGGCGATTCACGACGATCGTTGGGAAGCCCACCTGCTCCGTGAAGTCGTAAAAGAATTGATCCAAGTCAACGTTATGAAAGGCTGGCCAATTCTCCTTGAGGTGTGCAAACAAATGCTTTGGCTCGGTGTTGCCCAAATGGCTGAGGGTATTGTGAGAATTAATACCTTTATTGAATTGTTGTTAAGCCAACGATACTCACTGCTCCCTGAGGTAGTTACGAATGGCTTCATCAAAGTTCTGCTCTCCCATCGCATTGCGCCACATGCGCACTATGCTCGCGCCTTTGGCATAGGCAATGCTGCTGAACTTGGAGGCGATCTGCGAAGGGGTTTCGATGTCCAGTTCATGGCTTGACATTGGCTGCGTGTTATTGGTGGCATCTGTACCAAAGATCAACTGCAACTGGCGCACTACAAATTGCTTATCCAATTTGTACTCTGGATACAGCTGGAATAGGACAGTTCAAGTCGTCATAGATATTAACCAATATTAATATATTTACCTGATGCGCCATGAAGTACTCGTAGTAGCGAGCGAAGGCCTCGTTTAGCCAGAAGTTATTCCACCAGGCAAAAGTAACGCTGTTACCGAACCACATGTGCGATGTCTCGTGCGCGATGATGCGTATGCTATTCTCCTTATGGCTCCAGCCGTCCGTATACTCTGGCTGATGTACTAGTATATTATGGCTGAAGTGAAGCATACGGCGATGGGTTGAAGAACGATTCAGTTGTGTCTAAGGCCAAGTGAGATATAGCAACGCACCTGTAGATAATGAGACCCCAGTTCTCCATGCCATTGTGTGGGAAGCGAGGTGAGTTCGCATGCAAAAGAACTTCATTGCCCAGATCCTTGTAGTCCTGTCGGAATAGCTCGCCGTATGCATCGCGCACACGTTTAGACGCATTATAGCTAAGCTCGGAGTTGCTGTAGTCCTGTGGTCGAGTTATCACAGCCAAGTCGTTGATATCTCCACGTGCCTGATAGTCGGACACCATAAACGCAAATAGATAAGTGGACATATTAGGTGTAACTTGGAAATGATCCATAAACCAATTATTGCTGCAATTGAAATTTAATCGATAAGCTGGCAACGCGCTTGTGCACTATCTACATCAGCTTACCCCAGTTCTGTTGTTCTGATTAGCTTGGTATTGCTGATGGCCTTCACGCCGTTGGGTCGTCCGATGTGTAACTGAAATTTGGCCTTGAAGGCGGGCTCATCGAAGCAGGGAAAGAGCAGACGCGCATAGATGCGCTGCAACTGTGTTAAGAGCATCCATTTGGTCTTACCCGTCGGCTCATCCACATAGCTGGCGGAGAACAGACCCTTCATATCGCTGTTCACCTTGCCCGTGTACTTGAAGTGCAGCGTGAAGTTCGTATCGACGGTCAAAGTCTCCGCCAAGTGTACAGTCAGCTTTTGTGTGGTCTTATCATAGGTCAAGGAACTGTTTGGAATACTATACAGCAGAGAGCCAGCCTGATCGTAGAGTCCGACTTGGGCCAATTGAATCTCTTCCTTGTGCAGTGTGATCGCTTGCACGTTGGGCTGCATCGCCCGCAGCGTTATGGAAACATCGCCGCTAAACGTTGTGTTCGGCTTATTTCCATCGGTCGCCAGAATTATACTTATATTATAGAACATAGGCAGCACACTGCGGTCAAGCCGATAATTCCTACACTCGACGCCGGCTAGCAGGGCTATAGATAAAAGCCCGGCGAGCAGCCAGGTGCTGCGCCCAAAACTGTACATGCCGAGAGCAGTATTAGCACTGAGCGTATTGCCTATTTAAAATTGAGCAGACTGAAAGTCACCCAAACACAGATGATGATGTTGTTTTTGGCGCGATGATAAGATAATGTGGACAATAGCAGTCGATGAGATGATTAGGCAGGCATACTTATTGTTATTCCGATATAGCTCTTGCATAATAACGTCAAAACTATTTACAGAAGAAAACAACATAAATTTAAACAAATAGAAAGACACTGAGCAGAATTTAAAAGAAAAAGTATTTTGAATAAAATATTTGACAACATAAACTCTTCATATAAACAGATTTATTTCAATGCGTCTGATGTGCATTCTGAAACGGCTTCGTGTTCGAGTCACTTTCAAAATGTTTGTAAACCAGTTTTTGAGTGGGATTTCGAGGTATTTGTAAAATAAACATGCTGAATACGGGCTAACAGCATTCATAAACACTCAAATTACATTTCATAAACAAATATATATATATATATATATATATATATATATATATATATATGCTTATTCATTAAACTTTATCGAGCTGCTCTCTCCCAAAGTTTAATCTTGTGCTCAAAGCTCTTTTAACGCTTTCGTTAACTTAGCCAAAAATATTTACTAACTGAGATATTGATTTGAAAGAGGGCTTTGGAAAGAGTATCAAAATAATCTCCACAATGGAGATTGTGTAGATTATTTTGATACTCTTGTCAACTATAAAAATATAAATATTCCCAATCAACATAAACAGTAAAATTGATTGAGTTATTTCCGGTGGACAGCTCTGACATATTAGCTGATCATAAACTGTTTCGTTATCGTACATCGTTAATGATAGACATGGTATATGAACAATATTTGTGGTTGATATGAAATGGATTGAACTTGGTTAAATGCTGAAAAATATTCGTCCAGTCTCTAGCATGGACAGCTAAGAATTATTAAACTCGCGACAACATCCACACAGATTAGATAGAAATTTAGATTGTTTTATTATAAGCTAAAGTCAACGTAGTTTTATTCAAAGCTCGCTTATCGGGCTGCTTTATGGCCTGCTGCACAGGCGTTAGACGTACAAATACTTTTACAGTTAGACGACGGCGGCAATTCCAATATGGCCAATAGGCCAATGTGGCCTTAACGCAGCAACGTGACCAGGGCCACCAGCAGCAAGGTGAACAGGCTGAAGCCACTCAACATGGCGCTGCCGTTGCGCTTGGCCAAATAGGTGCGGAAGGAGCCCAGTTTGGTCTCGGCCCAGGCTAGATTCTCCTTGACGGTCTTCTCGGCTGTCAGCAACGTGCTTGCGGAGCTGCCAAACTTGGCGCTGTTAACAGTAGTGAACTTCTGCAGTTCATCCAGCTGCGATTGCTCGGTGAAGCGTGCCGCAATGTTGGAGATGACTGTGGCCACCGAGGAGTAGCCACCCATGCTGTATAGGGAAACAAATTCAATGTTATATATAGATGGGTTAGCTAAGTGGTTACTCACGCTTCGGCCAATGCATCGGAATTGGCGGTGACCAGCTTGAAGACGGGGCTCACATTCTCGTTGTTCTCGGTGTACAGGGTGCTCAGCACTGAGGATTTGTCCTGGCGACGAATCTCATCGCTCAAAACCAAGTTGAAGACACGTTCAATGAGCGACGCTTCCTTCACACAGCCAAACGAGTTCTGCAGCAGAGTCTCTTCGGTGGCCACCTTTTCGGTCTTGAATTTCGCGTACAGGGAATCGAACTCGGCGGTGCTGCCCTCACGCAGCGCCACACAGTAGACCACGGAGCGGATGTTCTTGGGCACAGTTGACAGTGACCTGAAATAGCTCTTGGCCCTGTTGATGCAATCAACATTGCCATAGCGACAGCTCCAGGACAGAACCTTTGTGCGCAAATAGATTTCAAGCGCCGAGTTCTGGCTGCTCTCCTCGAAGCCTAGCGTGCTGTAGGCCTTGTTGGTCAGCTGGCGAATGTATGTGCTGAAGTGGTCGGTATCTGTGCCCAGGCGTATGGACAAAAAGTTGAAGCCATTGAATGCCGATGTCCAAGGTATATAATTGATTTCCGTTTCCAGATACTCGATCACCTTCAGTGTGAGTTCGTAGCTAATGTATCCAGCGCGTGCCAAATTGAGTAGGTCATCAACCACCTGGGCGCGATTTACCTCATGTATATCGCCCCAGTTGCTGCTGGTAAGCGCCGCATGAATTGCATGCCAGTTCTTCTCAGTGTAATTGACACGATAGTAGCCCGTCTCCTGAATGTTCGCCAGCACCCAGGTGACGCCATCGGGCAACAGAACGGACGCTTGAGCATTTGAGGCCAGCACCAGCTTAGGCTTTGTATTGGTAAAGTTCTTTTCCAGATTGGTGGTGTAGCTAATTGGCACTGTGTAGACTAACGTGGCGTCGGCGCTGTCATTTTGCTTGAGCAGGAAACGCCTCTGGTCGAACTTAACGGTTTTGCCATCGGCACTCAGCTCAGCATTGATCAGTGGATAGCCCACTTGGGTGGTAAAGCTGTTGAAGATCTCTGTCGCATTTGCCTTGAACTGATCAACGGGCCAGTTGGCAAGCCAGGCATTCAGCAAGTCTTCCGGTATCGATGACTCATATTGGCTGCAAGTATCAGATGATAAATATGCGTAGCTATAACGCTCTACAGCATTTACTTACTTTTTGATGAGGTACTCCCGCAGAGATTTCTGGAAGTTTTCGGTGCCCATTGTGTGCTCAATCATACGTATAAAGGTGGCACCCTTATTGTAGGAGATGCTATTAAACATCCGGCTCAGATCGGCCGGAGTGTAAGTGTTCTCGTCGGTCATGGGATTTGTGGCTTCTGTCGAATCCATTCCCATTACCGATTGTACTTGATCGATCACAAACTGTGCGCCCAGTTCCCACTCCTTTTCGACCATGGCGGTGCCAAAATATTGGAAATATCTGGCAAAGCCCTCATTCAACCAGGTGTAACTCCACCATTTGCAGGTGACCAGATCACCGAACCACATGTGAGCCTGTTCGTGTGCGACAACAGCAGCAATCGATTGGCGGGATGCTAGCGTCGTGGCGGTCTCATCCACCAGCAGACTGCGCTCTCTGTAGGTGAGCAGTCCCCAGTTTTCCATGGCACCAGCTGAGAAATCGGGTATGGCCGCCATATCCATTTTATCATTGCCCAGCGAGTAGTAGTCCATGGCCAAATATTTGCTCATCGCATCCAGAATTTCACGACCCACGTTGAAGCTATATTGCGTTTGCGTGTAAAACTCGGGGCGTGCTAGCACACCGAATTTGTCGTCCTTGCGTATGGAGAACTCCGAGATAATGAAGGCCAGTAAATAGGTAGACATTTTGGGCGTGGTCTTATATACATCCAAAAAGTATTGGCTACAGCAAACATACGAGTTAGCACAGCACTTACCGTGATCAGTCGCAACTTACCCATTATCCAGAGGCGTTGAGGATACGAGCCTTGTATTACTAACAGTATTGAAGCTGTTATGACGCTGCAAGTTCACATCGAAGGTCGCCTTGAACTGTGGCTCATCGAAGCAGGGGAAAGCACGACGTGCGTGATTTGTCTGGAACTGTGTGGAACCCAACCATCTGGCAAAGTTAAAACGTAAGTCTCATTATACAAAAGTGGACACCGACGCCGAATCTTTTATACCCACTTGGTCTCATTGTTATCATTCACATAGTAGCTGCGATAGAAACCATGCATATCATCTTCCATCAGTCCCGTATATACGAAATGCAAAATATAACGATTGTTGGCCAGAAGAGGTTCGGATGTGGTCTGATTTTTAATATCAGTTACCAAGTCGTGCGTTAACGTTGACTCGTCCAACTTAATTGGATTTACTATTTCACCACGTGTTGCTGGCTTTTTCCAGTATTCAGACAACTTATAGGTCAAATTTTTCGAGTGGAACGACAAGAGCTGTGTCGTCGTGAGCGGTTCAATTTCGATGAATACCTCACCATCGAAAGTGAAACGTTTTTCATCGCTCTCCAGCAAGTACGGCCGCAATGTGATATTGTAGTTGTACGGAATTATGTTCGTTGACAATCTGTATTCGTAGGGTTCTGGTCCTGCAAGAGTGGATGGTGGCACCACTTCCGGTTCCTGCCGTGGAGCCGCTAACACGACACACAGGCAGAACGCTCCGAGGACAGCCAAACGCAGGCCGAACATTTCAACTGCAAATTGTTGGGATTTGAAATCAGTAATCTAATAGATAATTACACCAAGTATTTCACCACATTATATAATTAATAAGCACTCACTTTCCGTTTGAAATATATATTTGGTTAGACTATAATTCGCGAGAACTGCGGCCAGAAACGCGAAAAACTAAACTAAAGTCGACAACCAATTGCGTGAGCTATATATGATGGCTTTAGCAACGATTTATCTCTAACCTTAAAACATTTTATTCGAGTCAAGATAATATACACTTTGCTTATAGATTAAACGACGATTACGGTGCCACGCCGATAAGAGAGAGCGGTGATTTATGCCCTATATAAGAATATGCCAATCACAGACTTATGTACGACCGACAGTTATACATATATTGAAAGATTTAATGATAGACTAATCCAAATACCATAACGGAAGTGACTCATACAATGCAGGTAAATCACACCAAATTGTAGAAAAAAAAGAATATGTTTGTCCCGAATGAACGTTCGATTGGACCTATATATGCTTTTTCCACTTCAAGATAAAGAGATATCACAGGTTATTAGACACAAGTAGGTGGCGTCCTTAAGCGAAACAGCACGATTGACACTTATTGATCGAAAAAAGCAGATGTCACGATGCACAATCTAAACAGGTCTAAATTTGTGTATGACTCCACTATTTTTTTCCAATCAAGTTCATAAACAGATGCACAGTATCTATAGATAACAAAATTCCGGAAAGATAACTAGATAATAATATTCGATGGGGAGATCGACGAGTCAGTCGATGCCGAGATCTCATCAACTAAACACTTAGTGAATGTTGTTAGTAAAAAAACAAACAACATATTTTTAAGAAACACATACGTAAATTGATTTATAGTCATTGGAAAAAGAGTCTAAATCACTAAATCTATAATTATTTTCAGCGAAAAAAAAACAAATGAGTGTTCTAATCGAGACGGCCCGACTAGGAGATACCCTGTATCCAGAGTAGAGATGAAATTTCAATTATCCTGCGCTGGCTTGGGCTATGGAAATTTAATTGTTGAATAACTTTTCCCTTAGATGGACTTTCTGATTGATTCAGAATATATATGTGTCCTATGCTAATGCACAAGTCTCTAATGTTATTAAAATATACAAAATAATACAAAGATTAGAGAAACTAACACAGTAAGTCTTCAGCTGAAAACCAACATTCCCATTTTCAATGGCACCTTAAATATTTCGCTTAAGCGAAATATTCATAAATTGATTTATAGGCATCGGAAAACAGCGACAACATTTATCATAAAATCTACAAATATTATAGACTATGTACTTTTCGTTGATATTTTATTTATAGGTTGCGGCTCAGTCCCAAGCCATGCAGTTGAGTCACTTAGCTCACTTACTAAATAGTTACTTCATAGGTATTTGTGTTTCTCTTTACAACTTATGTATGACTTGCTCTCAAGAATGAAAAACAAAAAAAAAACGAAAAAAGAACCATATATGTATTACAAATCTTTATCTAATCGCATTAATCATAAATTGAAATTATAAGGGACGTTACAATCAACTTTTTCTAATAAAATAATAGTATATAGTTTGTGTACTTCACTTTAAGGCCAATAAAAGGCTTGTGGGGTTTATTGCTAATCTATCACATGAGGCTAGACCATTCAGCTATAACTTTTTTGCCCAGGTCCCATTGACAATGGGAAATCAGGGTATATTGGTTTTATGCAAATGTGAGTAACAGGCAGAAGGAAACATTCTTGATCAGGACGACAGGTCGAGTCGACTTAGCCCTGTCCGTCTGTATGTATGTGTGAACGCATCGATCTTAGCATCTAGAAAGGCTAGAGACTGGCATTTGTTGTAGGTCTGTGTATAACACGCGCGTATCAAGTTTGTTTCAAATATTCGATTAAAAACATGATCAATTCAAAGAATCGAAATTGCGATTGATTTATGAATTGTTTATGAATTGTCAGCTACTACTTAAGCTGAGATTAGCAGCTTCCAGCAAGAGAAGTGCAGTGGTGGTGTTAGTAGAGGCTGAGCTCGTAAGCGACAATCTCTGAATTCGAGCCTGGCGGCGAAGGAGCATTGTTTTTTTGTTTTTTTTTTATTTTTTTATTTTTTTATTATGAAGTGGCGGTGTTGGTAGAATTGAGGCACGTTGTTATTTTTTTTTTTTTTAATACTCAATGCAAATTATGAAAAATATTAAAAAACGCCGACAAGACTGGGATCAGGGTATCTCCTAGTCGGGCATACCGACTAGAGCTTTATTACTTGTTTTTCTAATCGGCGCTTATAAAATCCAAACGTTTCAGTTGTTAATGAAATACGATTTATAGCGAGCTCTATCGTCGTCAATCAAAATAGTAAGCCCACATACAAGTTAATTAAAATTTCCCAATCATTTCCAATGCACTCCGAATCTCAAAATATATGCTGGTCGCTTTCGGTTAGCTTAACTGTTGTAGAATTGTTTGAAGTTTAATTAAATAGCATCATCGATTGATAAGCAAGAAATGGCGGTTGTCATGTACGGATTAGTCAATTGCATATGACGTTATCGTTATCGTTATTGTTATCGATAACGATTATTGTTGCCATGTGATCAAATTGCTCATTTTGATAAGTCAATGAAATATTTATGGTGCACATAAACTAAAAGGTCCCAAGTCATCAAATACAAAAAATTCATTTCATAACCTTCATAAATACTAAAATATTTTTAGCATGACAACGTGGAAATAGTTGATAACACTTTCTTATCAGGTCCTATAAAGCGATAATAATAATTGTCAATTAAACGACAGGACATTAATTTGAACATTTTTATTGAGAAACGATCATTTCAGAAACAATTTGGTCAATCGAGGTAGTCGTACCTTAAACTAACTTAGTAATTCTTACTATAAACATTCTAGAACAATTTGGCAACGAAAAGGCAAAGCGCTATGGCCAACACAGATGCTGTCAAAGCGGGACTGCTGTTACGGAAGGACGTTACCCACGACATGATGGGCCCCCGATTGGTCGCCAGCCAAGCCATGTTAGCGTCAACCGTAGTATCTACGCTGGCCTGAAGTGTTTCGGGCACATATACGGAGTTTTTCACCGCATCGACAAGTTCCTGCAGCTTTGCCCTTTGACTGTCGTTGACCACATAGGCGGACATGCCCAAAATATCAGAGTAGAGAGGATTAACGCCTCCAAAGCCAGCATTCAACTTGGCATATGCCTCCCAATTGTTGAGCAGGAAATCAATGCACACATTCAGGCCCACTGGTCCACGGGAGTAGGTTGGACTAAGCAGCGTATAGCGCTCCTGAATGAGCAGCTGGTTAGTCAGATCAATGCTACTGGACACATACTTGTGCAGTTGCTTCTCATCCTGAGCACAGCCCAGTGCGGAGATGAGCAGACGACGCTCCGCCTGATTCGTTGAAGTCATTAGTTTGTCGTAGACAAAGTCGAAGACTTGGTCGTCGGCTTGCTTGAGACCATTGCAGTAGACGGGCATCTGTAGATTGGGTTGAATTGGAGTGCCTTGCTCGACCAAAGCGAATAGCTTAGCATGTGTCTCATCCAGACAGGTTTTCAAGCCAGCCAGGCAGGCTATATTGATGACCACATTGCGGGTGAACTTGGTCAAGTGGTGCTCTCCGTTGATGTCGTTCACGCCAAATTTGTCGAATTGATCGCTGACCAATGCAGCAACATAGAATTTGAAATTGTCGTAGGATCCATCACCGCTCAGATACCGATTGAAAAGACTGATCACGACGTTGGCAGTCGACCATGGTGCATATTGGTTTTCCTGTGGCAGGTAAGTGAGCAGCTGCAGAAGCACACCATGTGCCAAGCGACCGCTAGTGGCGAAGCGGTACGCGTCGTCAATAAGCTGGGCCCGATTACGCGGATGGATCTTGTACGGACGATCGGCCAAGCCCTCACTGATCAGCTGCCAGTTGCGGGCATCGTAATTGATGCGATAGTAGCCCGTAGACTGTTTGTTTAGTATCAACCATTCATCGCTCTTCAGCTTGGCATCAATGATGCCCAAGTCCTTCTCCTTGATCAGATAGTGAGTAGCCTCGGTCTGACGGAAATCAGGATTCGATTGCACTGCGTAATTCACTGGCACGTACCAGGATTTGCTTGTCTCTACGTCCTTGTTGGTGGTGTACTGTTGCTGCTTGATAGTGAAAGAGCCATCGTTATAGTTGCGCTCCACAGTCAGCAGCGGCAATCCACCTTGGCGGGTCCAACTGGTCAGCATATCTCCCACGGGAGCTTGCACTGGATAGTTCAATTCGCGAGCGGCCAATGAAATGGCATCGAACAGATCCGTCTCATTGGCAGCGGAGTAAGCCCTTTAATAACGACAATTAGCTTCCAATATATGATCAACTGGATGATATTCTTACTTTTTCACTAGATAGTTGTGCAGACCCCGCTGGAAAACGGTGTTGGTCAGAGCATGACGCCACATGTCCAACACAGAACCCGCCTTGGCATACGCAATTGAGTCATAGAGCAGTGAAATTTCCGAAGGTTTCTCAACATGGTAGGTCATCGGACGTACTGCGGGATTACCATCGACGTTCATGGCTCCTTGATACGATCCAGTATGGAAGGTTTGGAATATGTCCCATTCCGGATAGGCCTGTGTGCAGTAAATCAATTCGAGTTAAGAGTAAGTTAACCTAAAAACTCAGCTAACATTAATGAGTGTTCGCTCACCAAATCGATAGCCAAGTTCTCGAAGAGTGTGGCAAAACCTTCTTTAAGCCAGAGATAGCTCCACCATTCAATGGCAACCAGGTCACCGAACCACATATGTGCATCCTCATGAGCCTCAATGGTCGCAATGTTCGTCTGTGTATTTATTGTAGAATTTTCGACATTATACAGCAGATACTCCTCACGATATGTGGCTAGGCCCCAGTTTTCCATGGCGCCAGCAGCAAAGTCGGGTATAGCCGCCTGATCCAGCTTGGGTAGAGTAAAAGGTACGTCGAAATATCCGGAGAGACGTTTTTCGACTAACATGCCAGTGGTCAAAGCCCATTCCTGCTCATGCTCGGTGCCCTTACGCGAGAAGACTCGCTGGGGTAGATCGTTAAGCTCACCCTCCGAATACACAAACTCCGATACAATGAAGGCCACCAGATAACTAGACATTTTTACTGTGGACTGGAAAGCCGTGGTTCCAGTGCTAGCGTTGTCAATTGTAATAGCATAGAATAGCATAGTTAAAGTATGTTTAATATGAAATACCAGGGAAGATAGGAAAGGGAACAACATTTCTTAAGACAGGAATGATCTCTTTAGGACATTCCACATTTTTGCTGATAAAACAAACCTCGTTTTGGACGCATCCACTGGCATATTGCTGATGGCATTGTAGCTGGGATCGTGGTGTATGGTAATCGTAAAGTTGGCTCGCTTCGCTGGCTCATCATAGCAAGGGAAAGCGTGACGGGCATCGGTGCTCTCGAACTGAGTGGTGGCCAAGTATTTGGTAGCACCGGTCTCATCAGTGTACGAGGACAGGTAGAAGCCGCCATTGTCCGTGCGCAGGTTGCCCTTGTACTTAATAGTCAACAGCCAGGTGGTATCCTGCTCAAAGGTTAGATCCTGCGCGGATAGCTTCAAGAACTCTCGGTCTTTATCTTCTTCGACGTCTAGCGGTACTGCAGTTGACTCAGCAGCATTGGACTTTCGTATTGTCACCGTCAATATCTCCAGTTGCCGTGCATGCACCACAATATCTGTGCTAGGTTCTAGAACTTTTAGGCTAATGATCACAGTTCCTTGAAATTCTGTTTCGCCTTTGTGCACATTCGTGGTTAGATCGATATTATATTCCAACGGCTCCGTGTTATTGGGCAACCGATAGGTCTCCTCTTGAGCAGGCACAGCTAAACGCAGATTGGGGTTTTCGATCAACTTTTGCTGCTGCTCGAAGGGCGGAAACTGACGTACAACGGCCGCGTGGGTGGTGGCCAATACCAGCTGTAGGACCAAGATCGGAGTGAAAACACGAGTCATGATGTCTACGGTACGACACCAACTGGACAACAACTGGGCAGCGCTCACTGATTTTCCACTTATATAAGCCAAATTGTTACGCGAATCGCTGTAGATTTTTAGTTCGCACTTCACTATTGTCGTTCATCTTATCGGCTGGCAGGGCATAAAGATTATTGTAATCATATGCGACCGCCCATAAACCCATCCAAGCATATTTCAATTTGTTGGCCAATAAATAAATGCCGTAAATTGTACCAACGATCTTAAACTGAAACGCGTGCGCCTAGACTTCAGACAACAAGCTCTCTAAAGACGGTTGTCAAGTGTCTGAGTGGGCAATGAGTAGATTCGACAGTACATCAGTAATCGACAGCACATCAAGTGGACGCCAGTTGAAGATAAAGGTACAGACGGCCTCTGCTGATAACAGAGTTCTCATTGTGATTTTACTTTATAACGAGCGTATTTCTAATCAAGAAATTTTTGTTAACATGCAGAAACAAAAACAACACAATTGCTGACGCTATGATTTTTATATTCATTATCGAAGAGAAAAGGTAAATTGCCTTTCTGATCATAAATCATTTCGTTGCTATAAAAGCTGAAAACTGGAAATTTAGAATATTTACTCGTGTGAACAACCTAAGATTAAAATAAGTGAGAAAGTGCCCAACTAGGTGATGCCCTGATCCCAGTTCTATCTACCTTTTTTAATATTTGCCTTAGCTTAATAATAACTCATATTAGGACACCAAGATTAGAACCAACATCGCCTACACTACCCGCATCAACTCTACCAAATAAATAAATAAATTTAAAGGCTTATTAAATTAATAAAATTTAAAGGGTATTAAATAAAGGTATAAATATTTATTATTTTATTATTATAATGTATATATATATATTAATTAATATATATATATATATATTAGTTAATTAATTAATTGTTTCAAATTTCCTTTTTTTCTGACTTTATATTATTTTTTGTATGCTTACACATTTTTTATTTTTGAAATAAATTAAAAAAAAGAAAATTGTCACATATATTAATTTTTTAGCACATGAATAAATTATTTAGCAAACACTTTTCAATGTTATTGTTATTGTTATTTAATATATTAAATATATATATATATATTATATACATTTACATTTTAAATATACTTATTTATATAATTCATTCATAAATTCTTGTTTTTAAATACTCTTTATATTTATATTTAAATATTAAAAATATCAATATCTATGTAAGTGTTTTTGTAAATATTTAATATATGTGTGCAAAATAATAATGTTATACAAATTAAAATTGAGAGAGGAGATTCTCTGCTCTTAGCAAACTTTGCAACTAACTTCACTATATCACAAGGAAACAAATAAAATAAAGTGCTGTTAATAATTATATACTTTATCAAATAATAGCAAATTTACTAATTAACAATTTTAAAGAGAACAAGGCAGCATGGGTATTTGAATGGTAAATTAATAAGTATTACGAAGACGATTATTAAAAAATCATATTGCTAATGATCATTATCGTTAATGATAATTAGCAGTAATAATCATTATCATTCTTCCTAATGATCATTATCGCTAATGAGCATTCCGACGAACTTCAGTATTATAATAAAATTATATTAAATATTAAATAGTTATTTAGCAAATTGACAATGATCAAAAACAAGAAAAACGTAAATATATATTTAAATATAAATAAAATAAATATACATAAAATAAATTTATTTAAACAAATACAATATTTATTAAAGAAATACACATTATTTAATCTTTAACAATTTAACAAAAAAAAATTAAATTTATCACAATTTGCACTGATCTAGTCCAGGTCATGAAATTGACTGATCGCCCACAGCCGCTGCTTCGCCCTTTTATACCCAAACACACAACTTGTCATTCTGGTCGGGAATATTTATGCTACATATATATATTTCATATATATGTGACTCAAATGTGTTTATTCATTCCACTGTTGAGCACATTTATAACGTTTTCACTCATTTAATATTATATAAAAACAGACAAATATATGCAACTATATAAACAGCTACTGATCATGCTATATAAATTTATATTTATATATACGTATATATATATATATATGTAATATTTAATTTCTCATCTGTTTTCTTACATATATTAGTATATAATTAATAAACAACCAAATACATAATTTAGAGGCTCTAGCTCTTATGCTTTTAAATCGATAACATCAAAATGAGAACAAACTTGATATGCACGCGATATCGACGGACCTCCAAAAAACATTTCGAAGTCTCTAGCGTCTATAAATGCTGAGATCGATGTGATCACATATACGGATAGAGGGACGGACGGACAGATGAATAGGACTCGGCTTGATCAAGAATGTATACACTATAAGGGGTCTGCCACGCCACCGTCTTTTACATATATTTTAATAAAACCAGAATACCAAGATTTTCCATTTTTAATCAGTTACTTGTTTATAACAAGTAAAAACGTTGAACACGGACGCTACTGGCTGCATAATGCTCATTAATGGTCTAAAGGGTATCTTTCAATTGTTTGTAGTTGACATCGTTTGTGAGCATTATGCCATCAGGAGTGCCCAACTGAAACATTTGAACGTTTTTATTGGGAAATGATAATTTCGGAATATTTTACACAAACAAATTCGTCAATCGAGGTAGTCGTACCTTAAACTAAGAAATTCTTACTATAAACATTCTAGAACAATTTGGCAACGAAAAGGCAAAGCGCTATGGCCAACCCAGATGCTGTCAAAGCGGGACTGCCGTTACGGAAGGACGTTACCCACGACATGATGGGCCCCCGATTGGTCGCCAGCCAAGCCATGTTAGCGTCTACGATAGTATCCACACTGGTCTGTAGTATTGAGGACACATATGAGGAGTCTTTGACCTCATCAATCAGTTCCTGCAGCTTTGCCCTTTGACTGTCGTTGACCACATAGGTGGACATGAGCACAATGTCAATGTACAATGGATTAATGCCACCGGTACCAGAACTCAGCTTGGCATACGCCTCCCAATTGTTGAGCAGGAAATCAATGCACACATTCAGTCCCACTGGTCCACGAGAGTAGGTGGGATTGAGCAGCGTATAGCGCTCCTGAATGAGCAGCTGGTTAGTCAGATCAATGCTACTGGACACATACTTGTGCAGTTGCTTCTCATCCTGAGCACAGCCCAGTGCGGAGATGAGCAGACGACGCTCCGCCTGATTCGTTGAAGTCATTAGTTTGTCGTAGACAAAGTCGAAGACTTGGTCGTCGGCTTGCTTGAGACCATTGCAGTAGACGGGCATCTGTAGATTGGGTTGAATTGGAGTGCCTTGCTCGACCAAAGCGAATAGCTTAGCATGTGTCTCATCCAGACAGGTTTTCAAGCCAGCCAGGCAGGCTATATTGATGACCACATTGCGGGTGAACTTGGTCAAGTGGTGCTCTCCGTTGATGTCGTTCACGCCAAATTTGTCGAATTGATCGCTGACCAATGCAGCAACATAGAATTTGAAATTGTCGTAGGATCCATCACCGCTCAGATACCGATTGAAAAGACTGATCACGACGTTGGCAGTCGACCATGGTGCATATTGGTTTTCCTGTGGCAGGTAAGTGAGCAGCTGCAGAAGCACACCATGTGCCAAGCGACCGCTAGTGGCGAAGCGGTACGCGTCGTCAATAAGCTGGGCCCGATTACGCGGATGGATCTTGTACGGACGATCGGCCAAGCCCTCACTGATCAGCTGCCAGTTGCGGGCATCGTAATTGATGCGATAGTAGCCCGTAGACTGTTTGTTTAGTATCAACCATTCATCGCTCTTCAGCTTGGCATCAATGATGCCCAAGTCCTTCTCCTTGATCAGATAGTGAGTAGCCTCGGTCTGACGGAAATCAGGATTCGATTGCACTGCGTAATTCACTGGCACGTACCAGGATTTGCTTGTCTCTACGTCCTTGTTGGTGGTGTACTGTTGCTGCTTGATAGTGAAAGAGCCATCGTTATAGTTGCGCTCCACAGTCAGCAGCGGCAATCCACCTTGGCGGGTCCAACTGGTCAGCATATCTCCCACGGGAGCTTGCACTGGATAGTTCAATTCGCGAGCGGCCAATGAAATGGCATCGAACAGATCCGTCTCATTCGCAGCGGAGTAAGCCCTTTAATAACGACAATTAGCTTCCAATATATGATCAACCCTGATGATATTCTTACTTTTTCACTAGATAGTTGTGCAGACCCCGCTGGAAAACGGTGTTGGTCAGGGCATGACGCCACATGTCCAACACAGAACCTGCCTTGGCATACGCAATTGAGTCATAGAGTAGTTCAATGTCCGAAGGGTCCTCTACGTAATAGGTCATCGGACGTACTGAGGGATTGCCATCGGCGATCATGGCGCCTTGATACGAGTCAATATGGAAATATTGGAATATATCCCATTCCGGATAGGCCTGTCAGTAAATCAACCAAGTTTACATAAAAACTCGGTTAACGACAAAAATATTCACTCACCAAATCCACAGCCAAGATCTCGAAGAGTGTGGCAAAACCTTCTTTAAGCCAGAGATAGCTCCACCATTCAATGGCAACCAGGTCACCGAACCACATATGTGCATCCTCATGAGCCTCAATGGTCGCAATGTTCGTCTGTGTATTTATTGTAGAATTTTCGACATTATACAGCAGATACTCCTCACGATATGTGGCTAGGCCCCAGTTTTCCATGGCGCCAGCAGCAAAGTCGGGTATAGCCGCCTGATCCAGCTTGGGTAGAGTAAAAGGTACGTCGAAATATCCGGAGAGACGTTTTTCGACTAACATGCCAGTGGTCAAAGCCCATTCCTGCTCATGCTCGGTGCCCTTACGCGAGAAGACTCGCTGGGGTAGATCGTTAAGCTCACCCTCCGAATACACAAACTCCGATACAATGAAGGCCACCAGATAACTAGACATTTTTACTGTGGACTGGAAAGCCGTGGTTCCAGTGCTAGCGTTGTCAATTGTAATAGCATAGAATAGCATAGTTAAAGTATGTTTAATATGAAATACCAGGGAAGATAGGAAAGGGAACAACATTTCTTAAGACAGGAATGATCTCTTTAGGACATTCCACATTTTTGCTGATAAAACAAACCTCGTTTTGGACGCATCCACTGGCATATTGCTGATGGCATTGTAGCTGGGATCGTGGTGTATGGTAATCGTAAAGTTGGCTCGCTTCGCTGGCTCATCATAGCAAGGGAAAGCGTGACGGGCATCGGTGCTCTCGAACTGAGTGGTGGCCAAGTATTTGGTAGCACCGGTCTCATCAGTGTACGAGGACAGGTAGAAGCCGCCATTGTCCGTGCGCAGGTTGCCCTTGTACTTAATAGTCAACAGCCAGGTGGTATCCTGCTCAAAGGTTAGATCCTGCGCGGATAGCTTCAAGAACTCTCGGTCTTTATCTTCTTCGACGTCTAGCGGTACTGCAGTTGACTCAGCAGCATTGGACTTTCGTATTGTCACCGTCAATATCTCCAGTTGCCGTGCATGCACCACAATATCTGTGCTAGGTTCTAGAACTTTTAGGCTAATGATCACAGTTCCTTGAAATTCTGTTTCGCCTTTGTGCACATTCGTGGTTAGATCGATATTATATTCCAACGGCTCCGTGTTATTGGGCAACCGATAGCTCTCCTTTTCAGGCCGCACAGGTAAACGCAGATTGGGATATGCGATGAACTGCTGCTGCAGCTCAAAGGGCGGAAACTGACGTACAACGGATGCGAGGGTGGTGGCCAACACCAGCAGTAGGACCAAGATCGGAATGAAAACACGAGTCATGTTGTCTACGGTGCGACAACAACTGAGCAGCGCTCGCTCATTTGCCACTTATAAGTCTAATCGGCCGGCAAGGCAGCAAGATTATTTGTTGGTGGGCAATGGGCAGAGTGTTAACTAATTAGATAGAACATCAAGTGGACGCCAGTTAAAGATGAAGATACAGGCGGCCTCTGCTGATAGCAGAGTCGTCAATATGAGTTTGCTATATCATATGGTATATATTTAATCAAAGGTTAACTCTGAAAACAAATAACTGCAAATTATCTCGAAATAAGTACTTGACTCTAATTTCGCCTATCTATAAATGTAATCTCGATTAAAATAAAGTCATATAGATTAGCAGTGGTAAATTAGTAATTCTATTGAAAACGTAATACGGGAAAGTTGGTTTCTTTAGTCGATAATGATTTTAATTCCTAGAAACACCAAATTCTTGACTAGAAAAAAAGTTCACCAATTCATAGTGATCTCAATAGGTTCTTTACTAATCCTAAAATATTGTGACTCGTCAATGTTATAGCTGTACTCATCAGAATATAGACTGATGTTAATCTGTCGAGACTTTTGTGGAGTCGTTAAATGCATTTATAGAACTAAAACCAACCACGTTACATAAGTGCTGAGCTGACCTTTCGAAGCCATCAATCGAAGAACTCAAGGCTTAAATGTATCATAAACATTTTGAAGTATCGCTATTATGGCCGAAACATGAGATGATTTATTTAGGACAATTGTATATAGGTTTCACCTAGAACTATAATTTCTTTATTGGTAGCTTGTAGCGATAATATTGACCAAAGTCAAGTACGGTCAATAAAATCTTATTTCCTACAATCAGCTCGAATACAACTGCTGTTAATAATACTACTTGGAAAATCGGAAATTTCACAACTTGTTAAAATACATTTAATTGCTTATCGAAGGTGAATAACGTAGATTTCTTTTAAAGATATCTAATTTCAGTGGAATTCATGATATAGCAGAGTTAGCAACGTTGCCAGCACGATTAAAAGGGAGGCGGACAGGGAGCTGCTGCCGTTAGTGCGATAGGCAACTATCCAATTCATTATCGGCTGGCGGTGCACGTCTAACCAATCAAAGTTGCCTTTCATGGCGGCCTGCACAGAGGCCTCAGTGTTGTCGGCCAGATACTCAGGGCCATTTGTCTTGATTTTGTCCAGCAGCGCAGTGAGCTGTGAGGAAAATGAATTTAAGAATTTTTCTAAACAACAATTGAACATTTGGACTTACTCTATTCTTTTGAGACTCGTTGACCACTGAATTGGCTATGCTCCGCAGGGCAGTGTCCAATGGCTTCTGACTTTCGTTCAGGTCGCCATATGCCTTCCAGTTAGCATCGAGGAAGTCTAAGCTAACAGTCATACCAGTCTCGCTTCGTGTGTGGGCGGCATTTATCAGGATGGTGCGTTCATAAGAGCTTAGAGAGTTGTTCTTATCGAGGGAGCTCTCTACGAATTTCTTTAGTTGATTTGCGTTCTGCGAACAGCCCAACGAAGAGATGAGGGTGCCGCGATCGTTGCCATTCTTGGAGGCCAGCAGCATGTTAAATGTTAAATCAAAGGTTGTGTCTTCGGCCTGACGCAATCCGGCGCAAAAGGCCTGAGTTCTCAATGTTGGCTCAATGACCACACCGTCCTCCAGGAACTGCTGCAGTTTCTTGTGTGCCTGCTGTGTGCACTTAGCGCTGCCCACCTGGCAAGCCAGGTTCAGCACAATCACGCGCAGATAGTTGTTCAAATAGTGCTCGCCGGGTATTTCATTGACGCCCAGCTTGCTGAAGATATCCTCGACCAGCTCGATCACAAACTGACGGAAGTGCACGTAATTCGCATCGCCACGCAGATATGTATCGTAAATATTAAAAATACTGCTAGCTGTATACCAGGGCGCATATTGATACTCATTGCGCAAATACGACATCAGGTCCAACAGTATACTCTGACTGAGACGACCCGTGTCCACGAAGCGATACGCATCGTGTATAAGCTGAGCGCGATTACGCGTATGGAAGGCATAGGGCTCATCCCTTAGACCCTGTGCAATTAGCCGATAGTTTTGCTCATCATACAATATGCGGTAGAAGCCACTGGATTGTTTGTTTAGAAGCAACCAATCCTCCTTCCCAATTTTAACATCGCTTATTGTCTGCTCCTTGACTTTGGCCACATAGTGCGAGGCCTTAGTTTGGCGATAATCGGGACTCGAGGCAGTTGCAAAGTTGATAGGCACATACCAAGTATCCTCATTTGCTTTATCCTTGTCGTTCAAATACCGTTGTTGCTTGACGGTAAAGGTGCCAGCATCATAGTTTCGCTGAACGGTCAACAAGGGGAAACCCACCTGCGTGGACCAGCTGGAGAAGATATCGGCAACGCCGTAGGGCAACGGGAAGGTCAACTCATCGGCTGCGTTCTGCAGCGAGGCGAACAAATCCCATTCATCCGTAGAGTTGTATTGACTGCGAAGAGAAGATGCTAGATATATATTTTTTCGAATATATTTTGTTAAAAGACTCACTGTTTTGATAGATATAGGTTTAATCCTCGTCGGAACACGGCATCCGTAAACGCATTCTTAAACATATACAACACGCAAGCAGGCTTGGCATAGGAGATGGTACCATATCGATTCGATATCTCCGAGGGCGTTTGTACGTAATGCGACATGGGCGTCGTTAAGAAGGCATCGTTAATCAAGGCGCTGTAATAGTCGCTCACATGGAATATCTGATAGGTATCCCACTCAGGGAACGCAATATCATTCGATTCATATGAAAAGAGTGTAGCGAATCCCTCTTTAAGCCACAGGTAGGTCCACCATTTAATCGATACCAAATCGCCGAACCACATGTGCGCATATTCGTGTCCAATTATATTGCTAATGCTAGTTTTGAGATTAACGGTAGACTGCTCCTTGGTCCACCACATGTACTGCTCCCGATAGGTGGCCAGGCCCCAATTCTCCATCGCTCCAGCTGAAAAGTCAGGTATGCCCGCCTGATCCAGCTTGGGCAATGCAAATGGAACACCTAAGTATTTCGCTAAACTGGACTCGACTACCAGGCCAGACCACAGGGCCCACTCCTGTTCGTTCTGCTTGCCCTTGCGTGAAAAAACGCGCTGAGGCAAATTATTCAGCTCGCCGCCTGTGGACTCAAAGTCCGACACAATAAAAGCTATCAAATAGGTGGACATCTTAGGCGTTGTTTGAAATACCGTTGTGCCGGCGCTATCATAAAATCGATATTTATTAGGCATGCAATCGATAATGTTATCGTCTAGTCACTCTCTATAGCACTCACCTAGATGCGATGTCATCCACTGGCATATTGCTGATGGCTGTGTAGCTGGGATCGTGGTGTATGGTAATCGTGAAATTCGCTCGCTTGGCTGGCTCATCATAGCAGGGGAAGGCATGACGAGCATTTGTGCTCTCGAACTGTGTGGTGGCCAGGTAGCTGCAGAGTAAGCCATCAATATAAAAACTCTACTGAGCTATATACAATCTGTATGCACTTACTGCACAGTGCCGTCATCATCTTCATAGCTGGACATATAGAAGCCACCCATATCACTACGCAACTTGCTAGTGTAGGTGATGACTACCGTCCAGTTGGTGCCTGCCTTAAGGGTATCTGTGTGCGTAAGGACCAGAAACTCGCGCGATGCAAGGGTGGATACCACTGGTATTGGCTGACTCGATGCAATATCCTTGCTTTGAATTGTGGATCCAAATTCGTCAATCTCCCGGTAATGCAGTGTGATCGTCTTGGTATCCTCTACAACCTGAATATCGATCTTCGCAACGCCGCGGAACTCCCTTGTGCCATTGTGCACTTCCGTCCACAGCTCCACATTGTAGGAGATGGGCACTGTATTGTTCGGCAGTCGATAGTTAGTCTGGCTATTGTCATCCACTCGCGACTCGATGTATCCAGCTAAGCTTTGATCTCCTTTCGTCTCCAGCTGTGCCACATCATCAACAGGCGGCGGTATGAGGCTCGCCTGTTGGCTTGCTGCCACCAGCAGCAGGAGCAGCGGCCATGAATTTACTAAGCGGCGCGCCATGTTAAGCGGTCCGCGCTTTTTTAGATGTATATGAAGCATTGAGTGCGGAATAATGTGATATTTATAGCAATCGCCATATCTAATCCACTCTACCTATCGCCAATATAAGATAATGCTTTGATAAACGCAACACGGGATTGGTTTATTACCAAAATAGTTATGCCAATTCACACGGCTTGTATATGTATGAGTAACTAGCAGCTTATCTCTAGACAAGGTCTATAAATGTTTTATAATATACCTCCTGTCCAAACATTAAAAACCGTTTATGGAATAACTATATGCACTTAGTACTTAAGAACATTACCTTCCACTTAATACATATAAAAACAATAAAGCTGAATGACTTTTAACTTTTAGTTGCTTAATCAATTTTGTTTCGCTTCATTATCGTATTATTACCCAGCTCATGCTCAAAGCTTCTTCCGAAAAGAGCTAATTATTTAATCTGAAAAAATGCGATCTAAGTAATTAATGAATACCGATAGGTACTCAGAAAGATAGAGACTAATGGAAAGAGAGGGAGAGAGTAAGGTAAATGATGAGTAGTTCAGTCAGATCTAAGTAGATTGATTGAAAATGTATGAAGAATAGATAGATAAACCTTAAGAAGCCACAGCGAGAAAGATATAGTGCAACAGAGAGAGAAAGAGATTGAGAGAGAGACAGATATAGATAGAGAGAGACAGATATAGATAGAGAGAGACAGAGAGAGAGAGAGAGAGAGAGAGAGAGAGAGAGAGAGAGAAAGAGAGAAAGAGAGAGAGAGAGAGAGAGAGAGAGAGAGAGAGAGAGAGAGAGAGAGAGAGAGAGAGAGAGAGAGAGAGATAGAAAGAGAGAAAGAGAGAGAGTGAAAGAGAGAGAGAGAGAGAGAAAGAGAAAGAGAATGAGAGAGAAAGAGAGAGAAAGAGAAAGAGAATGAGAGAGAAAGAGAGAGAAAGAGAGACAAAAGAGAGCGAAAGAGAGAGAAAGAGAGAGAAAGAGAGAGAAAGAGAGCGAAAGAGAGAGAAAGAGAGAGAAAGAGAGCGAAAGAGAGAGAAAGAGAGAGAAGACAACGAAGATGTACAGAAGCGAGAAAGATAGAAAAGAAAGAAAAAAAAGAAAGAGAATCACACAGAGAGAAAGAATAACAGAAAGAAATATAGCGAATGGGACATGGGGAAAACAACATAATAAACGGAAAGCAAGAGAGAGGCAGACATGAGAGAAAGAAATAGATTAAGAGTTAAGTCATTCGACTTAAAAAAGAGAGAGCGAGAGACAGAGATGGAGTGAGAACTAAGAGACAGATAAAGGCATAAAGATAAAGTATTGAGAGAGAGAAAAGTAAGATAGTGAGAGAGAGAGAAAAATATGACGGAGAAAGTGAATTATTTAATTCTCAAAAAAATAAAAAAAATAGAGTAATAAAAAAAGGAAAAAGAAAAACAGAAAGAGAGAGAGAGAGAACAGCAGAAAAACAGGAGGCCTTAGAAAATGTAAATAAAAAATTCAAAAAAATATCAAGGCCTCGAGTCTTTCGATTAGTTGTCATATAAATGCCTATCAGTGCTAATTTGCTCATACGAATTTCCAATTTAATTATTGTTCTACTTAGGTACATTTATTTTAGTTAACTTTCGACTTAAATGTTATGCTTAATACAAGGTTTCAGCTACACGCCTATCGCGCTGCGAACGATGTCGCTGGCCGCACTCAATAGACTTGTGGGTCGAGTAGAGCCATTGCCCACGCTGAAGGATGCCGCATAGGCGGCATCGCTGTCAGCTGGAGAGAGTTCCTTGAGCAGCCAGTTGTGTATTTGGTGCTCGAATTTATCCAGAAACTCTTCGCTGTTCCGCATCTTTTTGCCCACTCGCCGCGAGTCGACAGGTATCAAAGGCTCTTTCGAATTCAGGTGCTCAGCTCGCAGATACATATCAATGTTTTGATGTAACGTGGCAAACTGAAAGGTAAAAGAACTGTTATTAATAAGCTGTATGGAATTAGTTTGTTATGTACTTACATAGGCCCTTTGACGCTCTGGCACAAATTCGGCAATATCGTTAAAGAGCACCACAAAGTGGGGCGAGCGGGCGAGCTGCTTATAGTTCTGATCAATGAAATGCCAAATACTCGATCGTGCCGCCACATTCGACTTGAACACGTAGACTAGATAAAACATGGACTCTCTTTCATTCAGCAAATTGTACGTGAAGTTCTCGCCCACCAATACATTCAGATAGTGATGCATGCGCCGATGATTTCGAGTGCAGCGCAGCGAGTAGATCAAGTCGTCGTGCATTGCGGTATTTTGGTCGGTGACAATCAGTAAATCGATTAACTTTTCAAACTCCTGATCGCTCAAGTGCCGCACGCCCATGCACAAGATGGCATCGTGTATGGCATAGTAGTCTGGATAATCGCTCTCAAAGTTGATGTCCTTGAAGACGTACTCGAGCACCAGCCGATGCGTATAGTCGAGGCACTCCGGCATATCCACACGGCAGGCCATGCTCAAAATATCCGTACGCACCAGTATATCCATGGTGACCACCTCTGCCTTATCTTTGTGAAAGAGACGTAGAAATGTGGGCGCAACTAGCCGACGCACGAACTGCTTGAACAGCGAATAGGCTGTTGTGCCATAGAGATTGTTGTCGAAAAACTCTATGGTATTGGCCACCTGACTCCAGGGCGTCAGATCATCCTCGAATTCCAAATACTTGAACAGCTCGAACAGTGCATCAACCGATTCGAATTCGTTCCGTTCGATCAGTGGCGCCAGATCCTGGAAGAGCGCTGCCCGGTTCATGGCGTGTATAACCGAATGATTGAGCTGCAGCTGGCGTGCAATGGCATGCAGATTGTCCGTATCGTAGAGCACATGATAGAAGCCCGTCTGCTGTTTGTTAACTATCAACCAGTCGCGTCCACCCAACTGCAGTTGCAGCTCCTCCAAAGTCAACGTGTGCTCCACAACAGGTGGCATGAAGTATTCGGCGTGCGTATGCACAAAGCTGGGCGATTGGGCGGTGGCAAAGTTCAATGGGATCCACCAGTGTTCGGTCTTGGAGTGTATTGAACGCTGTCTCAGGGTGATCGTGTTATTTTCATAATTGCGTATGACCGAGACAATTGGCAGCCATTCGCTATGCGTCCAGGATAGCATGATGTCGCGGACTATATGCTTCCAAGTTTGATGCTGGAATCGAGCGTCGTCCAAGACCGACTCTTGAACTGCATCGAACAGATCCAGCTCACTGACAACGCTGTATTGGCTGGAAGAGCGTTAAACTTATGGCACATCAATTGCAATTGATCAGTTCAGTGACTCCCCATCCGGGACTTACAATTTCTTCAGATAACGATTAATGCCCTGCACAAAGGTCTTCTGATGGAAAGCGTGATGAAACATCTTGATGACGCAGGCGGCACGCTTATAGCTTATAATATCGAACACTTTCATAATGTCACTCTCGGTCTCCACGTAATGAGTCATCGGACGTACATCAAAAAAGCTGCTGTAGCTATAGGCGTGCTCCGCTTCATCCCTGTTGAATATTTCCATCACATTGTCCTCGGGGTGAAGCTGCGAAATATAAGCCCAAGTTTATACACTTTTCGTAATTCGTATTTCTTTCAGTCTCTTACCAAATCGGTTATGACGTATGAAAAGTAGGTGGCAAAGCCCTCGTTCATCCAGACGTATGACCACCATTCGGGCGATACCAGATTACCGAACCATTGATGCGATATCTCGTGATTCTGCATTACCTTATACTTCAACATCTTATGCTTGTCTGTTACATCCTGCGACAGTAGGCTGTCGTCCCTGAAGGTGATTAGGCCCCAATTCTCCATGGCAGCACCCTGATTCTTTTTCAATGCTACGTGATCCAACTTGGGCAGCATGTAGCTAAACCCAAAGTAATCCTCAAGAGCTGCCACGGTCAACACGACATTCTTCAGCGCGGTGCGTCCCTTGTCCTTGCTGGTAGGCGACGAATAGATGGACTGTGTAACACCTCGATATGTCTCCGAGATGTGGTCAAAATTGGATATGACAAAGGCCACCAAATACGTAGACATGGGCGGTGTAGTCTGGAAAGTGGTTGTGGTCAGCTCGCTGCACTCAATAAAATCGCATTATAACTAAGTAACAGAATAGGTTAGAGCACGACTTACCCATGATTTACCAGCTCCTTCACTGGCATATTGGAAATGGCCATCAGGCTGCTGCTGTGCGTCAGTCGAATGCTATAGTTTGACTTGAAGGCTGGCTCATCGTAGCAGGGCATGATTAGCCGCGCAAATGTCGGCTCCGATTGTGTGGCTGCCACATAACTGTAAACAAATAATTAACTTTTGACTTTAGCTATGCCATAAAACCATGAACAAGTTTCTAAAAGTCATAATAAAACCCATGCGTTCTGCCAGCCATTTCAACTGTCATATTATGTACTTCACTCAAACAAGGAAATCCACGTGTGACTTCGAACTCGTCTCAAGGGCTCATCAAGAGATTTCCAAGCCCACATAGAATGACTAGACACACACAATCTCCTGGATAAGCAAATATCACCCACTGGACCTTCCACATCGTTATGTTAGAGTCTACTAACTGCTCTCCCTCTTTAGCTATCCTCCCCCTTAAGTCGTACAGTACGTACAATGCAATGTGTTTAAACTTTTTTAATTGTTCTATTGGAGAGACAAATCAATAATAAAACAATAACAAAATCTTGGCAAAATTGTATTGGGTAATTCCCAGAGCTGTGATCTAAAGCACTTTAGGGAATCTTTTCATAAAAAATTTCCTCACTTTATAAAAAATCAAATCAAAACAAACGCAACGCCTTGTTTCCATGACGATTCATGAAAAGAGCAATAAATATAATAAATAATACGCTAATATATAATATATATATTTTTATTTATTTTTATATACTTTTTTTTGTGAACTCTTTATCGGCGCTGCCGTTCGGCTGGCGTCGTCGATAAGACAGCAGTCACAGTCATGCCTCTTTATGAAGAAACCATTAAGCCAGCCATACTGTTACTCTGCTTGTATATTTTTGTTTACATGCAACATGAATGACAAGCATAGCGAATATGAGTACACTAACATTGATAAGGCCATGCTGGACGTAATATCAACAAGTGAGTGTGCTTTAGATAAGAGCGTTTGACTAGACACAGCTGCCCCGTGAACATGTTTTCATTAAGTGACTTAATTAACTGATATACAGTGACGGGAAAATAAAAGACTTTGCAATTTATACAAGTTTACCAAAGTCTATAACCAAATTCCAAAATTTGATATTTATATCTCTATTATTAAGAGGTATACAAACCAAAGTTTATCTTTTATTGTCTGAGATCGCCGCTTCTGTTTACATTGCTGCAGCTTTTGATAAGGCTTTTAGCAGTTTGTTGGTAACGCGGCATAAAAAGTGAGAGCTAATTAAAGCGAGAACAAAAGCAAAAGTTAACTGGACTTGATTATGCCTACATTATTATCATTTGAATTAAGTGTTTTGATTATATAATAGCAGAGCACGCGCGCGTAGTTATAGAACTTTTTATAATATATAAAATATATATATGCGTGTAATGAATTTACTAAGTCCGAACTTAGCTAATCGAACCGGAACTGCAACAAATGGAAGCAGACAGGGCTAACTCACACAGTGCGATTGTTAAGCGGCTCCTCGTAGGACATCCAGTAGAGGCCTTTGGGGCGTGTGCTCATCAGACCCGTGTAGGAGATGTGCAGTCGATATCGCTGTCCGGCTTCGAAGGCCTGATAGTCAACGCGCGGATGAATGATAAGGAATGTGGCATACGGATCGTACGTGTGCGTAACATCATCCACAAGTTCACCCAGCTCCTCTGGCCTGGAGCTGTCTAGCAGTCGCAGCGTTATCTGAATATCGCTCAAGTTCTTGGCGTGGACCACAATCTCGTTCGTCGAACGCCTAATCTCAATGTCTATGGTGGCATTTCCGGCAAAGCGCCATTCTCCGAGATGTATATTGGTGCTAATGTGCAGCTGATAGCTCAAGGGATACGTATCGTTGGGCAGTCGCAGCGAGCGTGCGGTCAACAGGTGAGGCGATTCCGAGGCAACTATCTCAGCTCCCTGCGACAACCCCAGCGCCGATGTAAGCAGCAAAATTATAAAACACGGCGTGCACATTACGGCAATGTGTGATTATGTGAACGTACACGTTGGCTACCGACACTCGACTGATCGTTTGTCGTTTCTGAATTAAACGCATTTAAAGCCTACACAGATAAGATAAGACCTGATTGATGATCATCGTATAAGAGCGTAGCGAGTGTTGCGCTCTCGATGGCCTCTTATACGCCCGTAGACGAAATTATGTTCTCTCACTTATATTTGAGACAGGTCAGTGCACAATCCTGTTTCTCCTTAAGCTCTCTTTCATGCACACTCTCAGATGCTCAGACACCTCTATGCTCAGTTGTAGCTAAAGCAGCTGTTGCTATTTTTTTAAATATAGCATTTCATTTTACTAATCATATTTCAATAACTGATTAATGAACTTATTTTTGTTTTACAGTAGGTTTTTTTGACAGTGTATTAAAATAATTTCTTTAACGATCGACTCGGCACAGCGCTCGTTCGGTTCGTTGCTTTGTGCACGATCGATTTCAGGCTATAGGCAGCTCTAGACGACTGTATATAGCATTGAGTTGCACAAGCCGCACAGCTCAGTCAGCGTTTCACTCTCTTAACGTGATAATGTCAACTTACCACTGCGCTCAGCTGTTGTTGTTATTGGGTTTGCTCTGCATTTGTGCTGCGAGCTATGTGCAGGCGCGGCCAGATTTGGGTTTTTCCAGTTGCGCCAAGAATGGACAATATGTGAGTACATAGAACATACAGTGCTTAGCACTAATATTGATACAAACATATTTCTATCTGTTTATTTTAGTGTCAAATGCATAGGCAATGTTGCTCTGGCAAGTGCATGACATATACCTACAAGTGTGCGCCCAGGGTACCACAGACATTGTACGACAACAAAGACAGTGGAGCGGATCTTAGCTATTTTCTTGACTTCTGGAACCCTGTATATAATCCACAGAGACAAGAAATTGAGATTGTTACGCTGAAAAATGTTGATAATGTCATTGGAAACAGCATCCAATCAACAGAGAAAGCGGGCAATGTACATGATTCATCCAATCCTCCAATCATTGGTCTTACTGCCAGCTGTTTACCTGTCGGCCAACCCGTAAGTGGATTTTCGACTTACTATCTTACTTTCCCCTCATTTGCTTATATATATATACATATATAACAATACTTTCAGTGCACAGAAAGCAGCCAATGCTGCAGAAAACGCTGTCACACCTACCTCCATCAGTGCGTTACATAAGGGAGCGATCCAATACACCAAATGAATATTTATTGACTTGTATGGCATGAAATTATGTGTTTGATCTGTATAGAAAATAAACACATATTTTAAAATCATTGCTTTTTTTGAATCATCAGCTCTAAAGAGTATATCTGTCTTTTTTCGAGAGACTTCAGATTTAATCGAATTATTTATTTATTTATTTACTATTGTCCCAATTATAGGGCATGGCATGTAGAAAAATATCTGATTTAATTTAAAATAAATATATCTGCTTCTCTGCCACTTTGCCAGGTATAAGAACAACATTTACTGTTCATATGCATGAAAAGATTTTAATCTAAAGAAGTGCCAAGAAAATAAGACACAAAAAATGCTCAAGTGTATATGAAAGCCAAGGGAATATATTATATTTGCTCTTGATGCTGATAATTCAGAAATTTTAAATTCATTTAATTGGTTCATTTTAATAAAGTATTAAGAAAATTGTTTACAAATTGCCAACTTGCTGATTAAACTACACAGAGCCTTGTGGTTAATGCACTGTACTATAAGTTAAGAATAAATTTAAATTTATAAATAAAATATATAAAATATATATACAAAATATAATATATATTACTAAATGAGCATAAGAGTCACGCTGGCAAATATATATGTATATATTATGTATAAAGTTTCTAGTTTCATGTTATGTAATGTAATTGGTAAGTGTGTAAATGCAACTTGAAATGAGTCGAAGCCCTCATATAAACTTTAATGAAATGCATAGCACATTTATCAAATTACCCGCCTCATTAGGAATACAAGTTAATGCGTGCTAAATGCTAAATATATATAGAAAAATTTCCAACAATTGAAAGTCAGGTTCCAGATAATTATATTTTGCTCGTAAAAGTTCACAACATTTTTGGGAAAAAACATTTTGTTTTGCTCTACTCTTATCAGAATTTTAATAATAAAAGTAGAATTCAAATGAAATTTATGCAATATATGCAATATCAGTTGTTGTAGCAATTCACAACAGTTCAATGAGACCTTGTACTACTGTGCATTCGCATTGAGTAGCTTAAGGTCAAGCGTCAGTCCAGCATTGATTAATATCTACTCAGTGTTATCTGTACCTGACTCATTTCGTTTCGCTGAGTTTAAATATTTGCCCAGTAATTTCGCTGAGGAGAATATTCAATTATCTCGAACTCTTGACACAAATGTTGCCAACTGCTTGACTTGGGCAAATAGCAAATAGAGAGTCTAGCATGTCAAACGAGCTACAAACTTGGCAATTAATTAAGGCCTCGGGGTCAACTAACTAAAAAAAAAACTGCTCTTAAAATCAAGCTTCACTCCACTGGGCACTTCAGTTCACTTCAAGCGTAGAAAGACGAACCACCAGGACAAGAAAAATGCTGCCAATTCTGTTGTTATTAATGCTACTGCCACTCTTAAATGCAGCTGTAAGTGGCATGCGACTTGCATCTGCTGCTGGATTAAACTTTTTTTCTTTCCATCCAACAGACTGTTAAGGCGCTGCCTCTCAATGCCACAGCGATCAAGTTGCCGTTGATACCGCCAAAGCAGAATACGGCTTCAGTTAATCCGGAAGATGTGACGCTCTTCACCAGCATGTTTCTGAACCTATTCAAAGGCATCGGCGACTGGCGCAATCAAGTGGCCATCGACACAGTGCAGAGCGTGTGGCAAAGTCCCCCAATTATTGACTATAGTCATCGCCTCTTCGCCACTTAGCTGCCAACTGTTTCCACTGAAATGCTTAATAAATCAAAATCAGCACAATTAACTCATGAGTTATAAATCTCGTAATCTCACTCACTTTACATAGAATTTTTAAATTTCTTCTCATGAATTTAATGGAGATTGGCGGAGGCATTACCAAGAGCTGCAGCCGCTCCGAAGAGTATTAATACTTGCCAAAAAGTGTTTTTATTAGTTCCAATTGCACATGAAATTATAGTTGAAAAGAAAGCATCAGTTGCTCAGCACTCACTCAGGGAAGTAGCAAACGGAACTCGATTTTAGTCTTTCTTTTGCAATAAAGACATGCACATTAATGGCATGCACTTGATTTGTGTGAATATAATACTAGTGTGGCAGCATCATCAATATGCAGTCACTATCTCTCTCACTCTCTCTCTGTCTCAAAATTTGTTGTCGTCAGCATTCAGTCGACTGGCATTAATAAACTGTATCAACTGACACGCCCATCAAACACCCATTGACAGTAATGTGAAATGAAGCACAATCAAATGGCAGCTGTTTGCGTATGTGTGTTTGCTTGAGTTAACACACTCATATACACCCACACACATGCACACACTCACACACATAGCAACCTCGCTTATACAACGACAACAAACAATATTTCCGCCATTGCAGACAATGCGCCAGAATCGTCATGTAAATTTTTATATTCATACACAAGCATTGACACATACACCATACAAAACCCGCCCTTACACACCCAGACACACACCAGCACATGCACACACATGCCACACACCTATCTCGAGTGATCCATTTTTCGCGCCAAACCAAACACAACCGATACAATGAATTTAGACAACAATTGTTTGGTTTTGTCGTCGCTGATGGTGTCGCAATTGTTGCTTTTGTTGCCGTTATGCATGGGTTAGTTAATTCTTTTGTATTCTATATGGGCTTATGCAGTATGACAATAAATTTCAGGTGTTTTTTGTGATTACAGCTGTAATATGTTAAGCCTGATTACATTAACAATTGATCTGTTATTATAATTAGCATCAATTAGTCTGTAGCGCATCCGAACATTTACATTAATTAGCATTAGTATTAGTATTAGTATTATTATTAGTATTAGTATTAGTATAAATATTAGTATTAGTATTACTATTAGTATTAGTATTAGTATTAGTATTAGTATTAGTATTAGTATTAGTATTAGTATTAGTCTTCGTATTAGTCTTAGTCTTCGTATTAGTCTTCGTCTTCGTCTTCGTCTTAGTCTTCGTCTTCGTCTTCGTCTTCGTCTTCGTCTTCGTCTTCGTCTTCGTCTTCGTCTTCGTCTTCGTCTTCGTCTTCGTCTTCGTCTTCGTCTTCGTCTTCGTCTTCGTCTTCGTCTTCGTCTTCGTCTTCGTCTTCGTCTTCGTCTTCGTCTTCGTCTTCGTCTTCGTCTTCGTCTTCGTCTTCGTCTTCGTCTTCGTCTTCGTCTTCGTCTTCGTCTTCGTCTTCGTCTTCGTCCTTCGTCTTCGTCTTCTGTCTTCGTCTTCGTCTTCGTCTCCTCTTCGTCTTCGTCTTCGTCTTCGTCTTCGTCTTCGTCTTCGTCTTCGTCTTCGTCTTCGTCTTCGTCTTCGTCTTCGTCTTCGTCTTCGTCTTCGTCTTCGTCTTCGTCTTCGTCTTCGTCTTCGTCTTCGTCTTCGTCTTCGTCTTCGTCTTCGTCTTCGTCTTCGTCTTCGTCTTCGTCTTCGTCTTCGTCTTCGTCTTCGTCTTCGTCTTCGTCTTCGTCTTCGTCTTCGTCTTCGTCTTCGTCTTCGTCTTCGTCTTCGTCTTCGTCTTCGTCTTCGTCTTCGTCTTCGTCTTCGTCTTCGTCTTCGTCTTCGTCTTCGTCTTCGTCTTCGTCTTCGTCTTCGTCTTCGTCTTCGTCTTCGTCTTCGTCTTCGTCTTCGTCTTCGTCTTCGTCTTCGTCTTCGTCTTCGTCTTCGTCTTCGTCTTCGTCTTCGTCTTCGTCTTCGTCTTCGTCTTCGTCTTCGTCTTCGTCTTCGTCTTCGTCTTCGTCTTCGTCTTCGTCTTCGTCTTCGTCTTCGTCTTCGTCTTCGTCTTCGTCTTCGTCTTCGTCTTCGTCTTCGTCTTCGTCTTCGTCTTCGTCTTCGTCTTCGTCTTCGTCTTCGTCTTCGTCTTCGTCTTCGTCTTCGTCTTCGTCTTCGTCTTCGTCTTCGTCTTCGTCTTCGTCTTCGTCTTCGTCTTCGTCTTCGTCTTCGTCTTCGTCTTCGTCTTCGTCTTCGTCTTCGTCTTCGTCTTCGTCTTCGTCTTCGTCTTCGTCTTCGTCTTCGTCTTCGTCTTCGTCTTCGTCTTCGTCTTCGTCTTCGTCTTCGTCTTCGTCTTCGTCTTCGTCTTCGTCTTCGTCTTCGTCTTCGTCTTCGTCTTCGTCTTAGTCAGTTTACACATATCATCTTACCAAGACTGCAAAACCATTTATACTTAAGTCTCTTGAAACTCTTTTAAACTCATACTTACGTTTTTAACTTTTAAATTGCTTTCATTAAACACATATTCAATATGTATTTAAATTTAACTTGTTTATGTTTGCCTCTTTGTTTGTTTATATATATTTATATAAAGGCATAATGTCCTCGAAAACCAATTAAGTAAATAAATTATTGTATACAAAATCTTTGGTTCAATACAAAGTCAAACTTATGTATTTTTATGGTAAAAAAACTATAATAAAATGGAATATTTAAATTTTATTTTACATTTGCCGTTGCCGTTGCGCTCATAGAATTCGATTGTACATAAATAAATGATATTTCGTCTATATTTTATTTTGTGTGGCTACACGTGTTGGTCGGGCACATACGCTTTTCACATTTGCATAGAAATCGCATTCATAGCTAAATTGTGGGTCCCTCGAAAGGGCAGGAGAAGGTCGTGGGCCACTAAGGTAAATAAAACAGCAGCTCGTGGCCGACAGCCTCTGGCTGAGCACGTGCTTCAATTTAGTGTCTTGGATTTTAAGGAGCTCGTCTTTTTACTCTACTTATTATTATTTTGTGCTTATTTTCCGAGCTTGAGGAAGACATAAAATCTGCGGAAGTGTTGAACATATCCGGCATGCACTGAAAAGCTGTTCCACCCACTGCCAGTCCCTTGTCGCATCATAGCGAACGATAAGAGAACACGATGTTTGCGGGGTAAACAGATTTTTTTTGGCAGGCGGGCAACCAAACCGGGAAATCACTTTTCACGGCAAAGCTTTTCCATCGAATATCGATTCCGTGGGCCCATCAAAATTCCATATGCACAATCGCGTCGAGTGGAGTGTCGTACGCTTAAGCGATT